TTTTTTTTTTTTTTTTTCTTTTTGTTTGTTTCTCTCTTCTTCCCTCTTGTCCATTCATTAACCCCTCTACTTTCCTTTTCCTTTACGTTCCTTTATTATAATGACTGCTATTTTGAATTTTCGCTCCTTTAATCGTAATAGCACCCATGATGAACCAGTCTCACCCACTTTTTCAAACTTTTCATTATCTGAAAAAACATCATCCGAAATAAAAGATCTTTTAAAATCGGCTTTTCGCTCTTTGCGTGAAAAAGAAAGAGGTATATATATTTTTACTCTTTAGTAAAAACATCCTGTTTGTTCTGCTCTTTTTTTTTAGATCTCAAACTTGCGGCTGAGGTTGGAAAAACATTATTAGAAAATAATGCATTACTTGAAAACCAGCAAAGATGGCTGCGAGACCAAGTTTATAATAACCAATGCTCTTCTGATGAAAAGCGATATCAAACTATGATTGGTAAACTCGAGCAAGAACATGCAGAGCTGCTCGATAATTATCAAACTATTGTTGAATCCAACAATAGCATGAAGAAGAACCACAAAGAATCTGAACAAAAGCTCATGGCCCAGGCAGATGCACTGTACAAGGAACTAGAGGATGCCTATGGCGCTATTCAAAAGCATGAAGAAGAGAGATATAGTTATCAGGGGTCAATTCAAAAGTTAAAGATGCAGCAAAAAGAAATGATGAGCAAGCAAAACAGTGCAGAGATCGACAGGCTTTCAGCAGAAGTTAGTCAGCTGACTGCTCGAAATCAAGCTTTATTGCAAGCTAAGGAAGAAACGAAACGCCGCTTTGAAGAGACAGTAAATCAGTTAGAGCAAGCAAAAAGGCAGTTGACGCAAATGGGTAAAATAAAGGAACAATATGATACACTTCACAAGACATTTCAACATCAAACAACCCATATCAGTCAGTTAAAAGCATGGATTAAAGAATGCCAACGTGAATCGAGCAAGATCTTGCAAGTCCCTGAATTGATGAGTGATAGTCTAAAGTCATACTGTTCCTCAGATGAAGATGATTTTGATCATAACGAACAAATGATTCAACTTCACACGCATGATTTGGTACCCTCCTCTTTATTTTCCGAGTTGCAATCTGCTATACAAACTAAGAATATTGACTTCACCACAGATGGTGCTACTACTACTACGATTGCATCTTTTACTGATGCTCCTATTGTTGTCAGAGATGTTTCAGATACCATGTCCCTCCATGCTTACAACCTTTATCCTCAGATACAAAAGAGACACTCCACCTGGAGTTGCCAAGTCAACGTCGGAGGTAAAAGAAAGCGGGCTTATTCATCCACAGTCTTATGCAAACCTACTATGAAAAGAAGAATCTTTTCAATCGCCCGCCTTCCACTTGACATTTGTTATCTTATTTGGCGCTTTACTCGATTTGTACTCGTAGCTCAATTATCCTTGTTTTTTGTACTTTTGTTTTCATTTAATAAGTAAATTTTTCATGGCACTTTTTTTTTTTTTTTTCCTTTTCTTTTGTTATCGACTAAATGGCAGACACTGGTTCTGGTCATGCAGGGACCCCCAATTTGACCTGGGTTAATGTAGCTATAGCTTCGACATTCATTCTCGTCAATGGTTCATATAGAAATATAATGCAATTGTAATATAAAAAAACTAATATTGTATAAATATACAGGTGCCATTTCAGTGGCATTGGGATTGAAGTTGGAAAAGACCTTAATCATTGCTGCGATCCGTTGTCTTGTACAATTGACAATCATGGTATGTGTTGTACTCATAAGATATAGTCTCTCTTTATTAAATTGTATTATTCATATTATAGGGCTTTATTCTTGAAGACGTTTTTAAAACAAGATCCCCAGCACTTGTTATGCTTATGGCCTGTAGGTATTAAAACTCTTTATGATGACACCCTCTTACAGTTGGATAGGCATATTAATTCTTCTTGGTGCATATGAAACAGTATATAACAAGTCAAAACAATCATACCGTGGCATGGTAAAGGTTACAGATATGTATTGCTCAATCATCTCTGACATCATGCTTAGTTTATATCCGTACTGTTATCTTCTGGGATATCTACATTAGTTATCGGCATCATTGGGTCACGATGGGCAATGAAACAAAACCCATTTTGGATACCTGAAGTGTTTATACCTACCATGGGCATGTTACTTGGAAATGCTATGAGTGGTATGGCTGTTGCCCTAAGCAGTTGCTTATCAAGTGTGAGCAATCAAAAAGAACAAATAGAAACTTATTTGGCATTCGGTGCTAGCCGATGGGAAGCTGGCCAATCCATTGCCGTCGAAGCAGTTAGACTATCGATGTTGCCTACAATTAATCAAATGTCAGTAATCGGTTTGATTGCTATTCCTGGTATGATGACAGGTCAGATTCTGGGTGGTGCACCAGTGAGTAATGCAGTTAAATATCAACAAATTATCATGTTCTTGATATCTGCCAGTACTGCCTTGGGTGTTCTTAGTGCTGTTATTGTAAGCATGCTCTTGACCATGTGTGATGTAGCTAATTCTCTTTTAGGCTTGTGTTAGGGTGCTCATAGACTCTAGACATAGACTTAGACCTGAGAGAATAATTAATGGCAGAGCTAGTCTATTACAAGACATCAAACAGGCAATCATATCGCTATGGCGTGGATTCATCTATGTATTTTGTTGTTTAGCAGAGGCAAAGAAGAAACAAACTACTGATATTGACGACGATGATGAGCAGCAAGATGAGCAACGTAAACCTTTATTAAATAGTCAATAATTCATTGCTTGGTTCTCCTTCCTTTATTCATAACCTTACATTATTCTACACATATTCAAGCATATTAAATAAACGAGTCCAGTAGATCTATTCGACCAATCATATTATATTTAAGAAAGTAGAGCCTATTCTCTCTTTTTTTTTTTTTTTTTTACAATTAAAATATGGAACATGAGCATCATATTAAAATAACAGTTCCCGAATCAGCACAGGATCTACGTGTTAGAAAGTTCATTGTACAGAATTATAGACATGTCTTCAAATCAAAAGAAAATATTCATCGAGCATTCAACAGAAAAGAGATCAGTATCAATGGCTGTCCGACTGAAGAAACAAGAAGACTGAATGCAGGCGATATTATAGAAATAAACTATGACAAATCAATAGAAGAGGCTGAGAGACTAGAAACAATACCCATTGATATCTTATATCAGGATGAGCATTTGGCTGTTGTTTGGAAGCCACCTGGACAGGTATAAGCCCTTCAATGTGTCTTTTTTTTTCTTAATGCTTTTTGCTTGACAGAATTCTGCAGTTTTTGAAAAGGCAATTCATCATAATACAGCAGAAATAGACTCAAAGGGAAATAAACAAAAGATTTGGTGTATAAATGATATTCAAAAGGCAGCTTCTGGTTTGGTAAAGACAAAGCGTATCCAAATCTTGATCTAACATAGATCGTAGATCCTTGTTGCAAAGAGCGAACGAGTGAAAGAGTTACTGATGGAAAGCTATATGAATGATAAGATCAATTTTACCATGCGTGTGATCTGCCATGGTCGAATTGACACGACTGTTATGTCTGATCTATTTTACTTGGATCAAAGCGACAAGACCCAAGAGTCCAAAGTGAATCCTAAAGATGTATTGAAATCAATCGATATAATATCAGCAACACGATCTAATCATGCGCAATATATTACAACACTTAATCTGCATTTGCATTCACCGCTTTCTAGTCTTCAACTTCGAAAGTTATTCTTCTTTCAGTCAAAGCATCCTATCATAGGAGAATCTGCATATACCAAACTATTACACGTCAACAAGGATAAAGGCCTATACGCTTCACTCATGCATGTGAGCTTCCTTCATCCCATCAAAGGTACTCGAGTACAGGTCACTGGTAATGAACCTCAAAAGTTCGCAGTGATGCGTGAAAGAGAATACAAATTTTATCAGAAAAAGATTGAAAGAGAAAACGAAGCGATGAGAAAGGCAGGGGTAGACGCATCTGAGCAAATAGAACGAGAAAATGGCCAGTTGTTGGCTTATGTATTGGGACAAAAGGATTTTTTCAATTTGACATTCAAAGTAACAAAGGATTGCTTAATCCCAAGGCCTGCTTCTGAAACGCTTGTCAAAGCTGCTATAGATTTTATTAAGGATAGAAAAGATACACGACTAATTGATATCGGAACAGGATGTGGTAATTTAGTCATATCCATCATGGCAAATCTCCCTTCTTCTGCTATAACTTCGGCTGCCGCTATAGACATTAGTGAAGCAGCACTTGCTGTTGCAAAAGAAAACGGTGAAGCAATACTAGGAAAAGACAAGAGTAAAAGGATTGAGTGGCGTAATCAATCCATGTCTGATGTAGCAGATGGAAAAGTGTATGATATCTTGGTGTGCAATCCTCCTTATCTCGACTATAATCAGATTAGCAAACGAAAAGTTCAAATGGCAGACCTTGGTCAAGAACCACATATTGCCTTATTTGCTGAGGACGGTGGATTCAAGTGGTACAGTGTGCTAAGTGAAATAGCACCCAACATTGTGAAAGATGAAGGAAGAGTTATATTAGAATGTGGAAAAGGTATTCTTCAGCAAGTATTAGACATATGGACTGGTTGGGAGCAAGAAGCGATATATAAAGACGTTCAGGGGTGGGATAGATGCATTGTATTAAAGAGAACGACATAATCTATGTGAAAAATATTTATTTATATATATAATATACTACTCTGTATGAGTTGCTCCAGGCACCAAAGGATACAGGTCTTTATCATCGTTTTTTATATGCTGCTTGTTCTTTTGTTCGGATAGAGTCGTTAGAAAATTGGTAATGAATATCTTTTCATGAATCAATCTCTGAATCTGATTACTTGGCTGGTTTAATATTAAAATAGTAACAAACTCAAGCAGCGTATTGGCTGAAATGATATAAAGCTGGTTGATATCAAGCCCAAATCGCTGCATGTTCTTGTAGGCTGTCTTTTTCACCTACGTAGCTTTCTGAGTATTCCTTTCTTTCTAACTATATTTTCTTTTTTATCTTACTTCTAATACCAGATCAGATACAGCCTGTGCCCATTTTTCAGTATCTGATAGTTGCTTTGTCTTCAATCTTTGTGTCTTCCTTTCTATAGACTAAAATAGTAAGAAGAGTTAACAAAAGAAGAAAAGGCTTTTTTTATTACCAAATCAGCTTTATTTTTTATAAAGAATACTGGCACATTATATCTCGCTGCTTTTCTAGCAAGGTCAACATCCGTGGCCATAAATCTATCGTCAAACACAACTAAAAGGGCATCAAATGCGCCCAAGCAATAGTTTTCAAAATAGTCTTTGTGAGGATGACGTGGTGTACCAATACCAGGCATATCCCACAAAGCGAGTGCAGGTAGTAACGGATGACGATAAGCTTTGGGTTCCATTGTTGTTTCTGCCTCACCCACGGCTGCAGCTTTTGGATGATGATGCTGGTATCCGAGCATGGCATTCACCAAGGACGACTATAGAACTACTTAGAATGACAACTAAATACGATGACTCTGTTCAAACCTTTCCTGTTCCGGGAGAACCAACCACTGCTACATTATAATAGGAAGCATCTAATCGCAACATACCTTCAGCACGCTGTAAATATTCTTCATTTATTAATTCTCTTTTATAACCAAATATAGTTCTTATGGAAGTAAGAAAATAATAAAATGGTGCCAGTGGTGAAACAACCACACCAAACAAGCCGCCGATGAGGCCATCGGTAATGTTATGACCAGTAATAAGTTCATCATCCAATGCTTTACTAAACTCATATGCACCAACAATTGGCAATGCTAATATGACGACAGGCGATAATAAAACAGCTGAACCTGCAGCACCCATTATTTGTAGTCCCCTTTTAGCATTTTCTTTTTTCCAAAGACCATCTGCTGTCAACTGTGATTGATTTATTCCCATTGATTAAAAAAAAAAAAAAGAAAAAAAAAGAGAGAGAAAGAAAAGAGTAAACCAATGATCACATTGATCCCTCTGAACGACATTAGTCTGTTACTACAGAAACTATCACATGAACATCCCCTCCTCGTAGTGCAAGAGAGCCATGCATTGATTCACAAACTAATTGACTGTACATTTATAAAATAATAGGGAGATCACCCTAAAATAGAGCTTCAGATTGAACGACACTTTTTTTTTACAATGATACAACCCTTTTTTGTTGTACCAATCGATTAGAAAGTCATGTGATCTATTGACAGCAAAGTGCATAAAATCTTGGAAATGTTCATTCTCCTTTTTATTTCTTTATCATTTATATCTAAACTAAATGTCAACTTTTGTTCCACAGCTAAAAAGAGAAAACGCTTTTCTTGGTGATCCTTTAAAAGATGTATATAGATGCAATATATACCAAATAAGTATACTTCTTTGCTGACTAACTTTAATAGAATTTCTGCGCTATCTGTAACCATGACGAAGGAGCGGATTCTTGGTGTAATGTGACCTGTCACTGCTCAAGAAAGTAAAATACTGAAGAATATACAATATACTTATACTAACCTTCCCCTTTAAGAATCAAGTACGCCCATAGAAACTGTCTCTTGAGTATGAGTACATGCATTAGATGTAACTCTTCTTTTGTAAAGATACCAGAGCGCCCATCCTCTAAAAAGCCAACACCAACAATGAGACAATGTTACTTGAGTAAGCATATACTCTATACGGCTTGGATGAATACTTAAACTTTTGTATAGAATACACCCTTATTTTGTTTGCACTTTTGTATATGATACTACTCGCTTATGACCTAATGAACTGTACAAGTATTCAGACCATTTATGCCCATGAACTGCCAGAGACAGACATTGTCGATAGACCAGACTATATCAAATTTCCCGTAAGTAACAATAGATAACAAAAATATATATTGACTTTCTTTAGAAAATACACATGAAGTGCCTTAGACGAGGGATTTCTTATTCCATTTATCATCATTTGTTTAATTATTATTTTTTTGTTTTCATTTGTCTTTTTGTTATTTATTACATGCGAATATAAAACTATTCTAATTTTTAAGCATTGTTCTCCTTTTTTTTTTGGTACCTGAGATTCCCTTTTTTACACAACTTTGAAGGAAAACCACAATGTTTCATAAAGAACTCTAAACCTCGGGCTTTTTATTTTATGCAGTAAAAAAAAAAAAAAAAAGAAAAAAGAAAAAAAAAATGCTGTATTCGATCGACAACTACTTTTTAATGGCTGTTTTTGTAACCTTTCTTCTGGTTTGTTGTTGTTGTTGTTGTTGTTGTTGCTGCTGCTGCTGCGGCTGCGGCTGCGGTTGCTGTTTCTTTGGTGAACGAGATTTCTTCAGCTTTGGACAACCATCACCTGTCATCAAATGTAACTTCCATCCTGATTCATTTGGTGGCTCAATGTCCACTGTACACAAAGGACATATTGCTGTTGTACTGGGATCAATCACATCTAATAAAAAAATCAATATAAAAGAATTCATGCCAGTTGTTTATACTCACTAGGACATGTTTGCTTCAGTGTGTGTTGCAACCATTGTTCAACAGGAATAGCTAGATGACAGCGCGTACATTCTTTGGTCAGATGTCTCTTTTCGCAATCGACCAACATGTGTTCATTTAATGTTGATATTTCAGTAATCTATAAAAATGAATATCCTATTCTTTAGAAATGTTCTATCTCACTTTACCATACGACACATTGGGCAGTTTGTCAACACAGGACAGGAATTGTAATAGTGCTTGATTAACGTATCCTCGTTGAATTCTGGGTTCACTTCGTCACAGAATATGCAAACACTACAGAAAAAGTATGAGTTGCTTGGTAGATAGGAAAATGTTTTTTTTTATGTACCTATTTTCATTGAGAGTAGGTACCTCTTGTTGAGCTGGCTGTTCTTTAGGTTTTTCCTTGGTACGTTCCTTTACTTGCTCTTTAGGCTTGGTGCGAACTGAGGTTGTACGGGTATTGGCTGTTGTTGTTGCTGTTGTTTTTTTGGCTGCAGAAGAAGCAGGCCTCTTCTTATCGGCAGCCGTAGACTTGGTATCATTTGCAGCTGACCTCTTGACAGATGTAACAGTGCGTTGAGTAGGTGCTCTTCTTTCAGTGACAGTTAATGCACGCAACTCGGATATTGTTTTTTTGGTATCATTTTTAGTAAACTTGGCATTGTTTAATGAATCTTTATCTACAAGTTTCTTTACAGTCTACAAAACACAAATAGTTAGTGTTTGTTTATCTGTTGACAGTATATACGCCCTTACATCTGCTAGTGATAACTTTAATGATTCGTCAATATATGAACTCACCAAGTTGAAGCCAACTTGATCGGAAATAGTAACAACTAACTTTACAGCTGCCTCTCGCACCTCGTCATGAGAGTGTCCTAGATAAGCAATCACAAACTGCATGAGGTCATGGAGAGGCACGAGTGTTTTCTTTGTGGTCTTTTTGTTGCTGGTCGTCTTGTTAGGTGTATCAATGCCCAGCTTAAGCACAGTGGTTTCCACAAGCTCGATTCGAGCTTTAGCTTCTTTATGATTATGGATCAGTCTTTCTGGTTTGCCAATATACAAGGGTAATAGGGTATAAGGAGAAGTAGAATAAGATTGAACCAAGACGAGAATCAAAGAAGTTGCGTCTTGTCTTGTCTTTTGATGGGTATCACCTGTTCGTTTCAAGAGTCCGCAAAAGGCACGCTCGACCCATTCAATCACTTTTTCTGTTTCGATAATGGCTTGTTGACAAAAGTCGTTCAGTTGATGCCAGATAGATATAGCAAGCGTTACAATAGGCTCTCTTGAATCCATGACAGTTTCTTGGATTAACATGAGTGAAGCATTGACAAAATCAGCAACCATCGTAGTCTCATCGGTCAAATCATAATCTGGAGTAAACATGATGTAGAGTTCGCTTAATTGATTGTTTCGGACCAACTGATATGCTGAGTCAATCCTTTGCTCTAGTTGGCCAAGTCCCCTTCCTCTACATTTTGATTTTATGCTCAGAATACAAGCAACAACTTCTTCACCAAATATTTGAATGGGTAAAGTATATGGACCACGTTCTTCGTCCATAATAGGCTCGGGTATACTCTCAGGGTCAACGGGTTCTTCGGCTTGTGTGGGTACAATGGCTGTGTTGGTTGACATAATATCGTCGTCATCAGGCACCATCCATTCTTCCTCTTGTTGATGCTGCTGTGATTGCGTCTGAGGTGGTTCGCAGCCAATGAGTGTTCCATCAAAGTCATGATATTTTTCATCTTCATCTTGAAGTATATTTTGTGTAGACTCCAATTGGACCAACCTTCCTTCACTTGTTATTTGAATATTTGCTTGTTTTAGCAAAGACTCGGCTGTTTGTTTTACTATCTTTATGTCATCCTACCAAACAATATAAACATAAATGCATGTAGCTTAAAATGATTTGACAACACATACCTTTATCTTTTCTGCCTCATCATAATCCTTAGTTTCCACAGCATGTCTCTTTCCGATTTCAAGGTCTGCTAATATCTTTGTAAACTTTTGCATCTTATCTCCAAGGTATTTATAAGTCTTGGCCTCTTGATAGGCTTCGTCTGATGGAGTGTATATGATTAGGATCATGTGTGCATATAAATAGGAAACATCTTACTTTGTACAGCCTCTTCCTCGGCAGCAAGTAAGACAGTTGCCCATTGCTGAAGTTCAATTTCGACAATGTTTGTAGTAGAAGGGTATTTCTGAATGATGCTTTGATTGCTTGATACGCTTGTACGACGAGTAGATGAACTTAATAGGCTGTTCTCATCAAATGGGTGATGTATATTTCGAGACTACATATATAAAGATGAATAATACAGCTATGTATATACATGTATATATATTACGGGTATAGAAGAAGATGCATGTGAAGTACTGTGTATGGGCTGACCCAATACTTTGATAGCAAGTATACCAACCTAATAAAGAAGTGTAAACAAATAAACATGGTGCACATGTTATGAACACTTGCTTGGTTATATGTATTTAATCTATTTCGATGACAGTTACGTATCACCAATCGAACATATTCACCCTCCATATTAATTTTAATTGATTTTAATTCTCGAGCTCTGAACTGAGCCCTTGCATTATTATCAAAACAGACATAACTAACGAATATAAGAGATGAATGTTTTATATAATTTTTTTTTTTTTTTTTACCCAAGTCTTGTAAATTCAATCAACATGTTGTCATCCTCATCTGATGTATCAGGTACTACGATATCCTCTAACACATCCTGTGGATCTTTTAATATGCCGACATAGACATCAATCTTGGTTGCAATTTTAAAATGATGGGATAATACTTGAACTTTATTAATATACGCTGGCCCTGTTAGCAAGTGAATAATTAAATCTTGCGGGTATTCAGGACATCTATATTTATACACACATCATCAATTACTCTTTTCTCTTCTTTATTTCTTTAATATCCATACTTGGGTGTTTGCCAGCCTTTGTAGCTATCAAAAGAAGACTCGTTATAAGGAGCCTCCATTAGTTGTTCTGGATTATAGTCGTCATCCCATGAAGAGCAATGGACAACTTCATAAGGTAGCAAATTAGTTGCCATATGAAAAAGTTTAAGGGAAAAAGAGAGAGAGAGAGAAAAAAAAAGAAAAATTACAGAAATATATATAAAATGGAATAAAAATTATCTCGTGGTTTGATGAATATATGATGATGCTATTACTATTTGGATATTACTTTTTTTTTCTCCTTTCCTTTACTTTACTTATCCATAGCACGTGTATTAAAGGAAAACTTGGATTCATGTGGGCAATTTATGTCATATATTGTAATAAAACTTGTTTTTATAAACTTTTAATTGAGAAAATACACCTTTTCTTAGCATTTGTCTTTGCTTTTCTTCTTCAGGTAAGAAAAAGAAAAGGGGAAACTGAACTGTATCTTAATAAACTATCATGTTACACCAAAACATTTTAGTGCTTATTTTATTTCTTGTTGCTCCCTTTTTGAATTATTACTTCTTTTTTTTCTCTTATTTCTTTTCTTGGCTTCCTTATTTCTTTCTCCCCTTGTTTTTAAACACTTTTTGTTTTTGCCGTGAATCTTTTATTTACTTTTTAGATAATGGATTCGTCTCAATTATCGACAAGTAACCTCAAGAGATCAAAGAAACCAAAACCGCTTTTTGGTATCTTTCGTACAAAGACAAACAACAAACAGAGCCCTTCCTCAACTTCACCACTCGGTTCAGGACTATCTTCCGCGCCTATTCACTCTCTATTGTCTCCTAGCTTAACAACAGATCATTCTTCTTCCTTTGATCCTTATGCTCCTCCTCCGTTAAGGCCTCTGCCGAAACCTTCCATGTCAGATACTAGACGTCCACTTTTCTCACCCCAATTTCCGCCAAGACAATTACAACAGCAACAGCAGCAGCAGCAACAAAATCATCAACAGCAAAGAAGGCCTAGATCGAAATCTGTTGGTAGAGATCCTTCAGTTACAACACGTTTATTAAATGAAAGAGAAATGGCATTGAATAAACTATGTCAAAAAGAACTAAACAACCCACAGTCGCTGGTCGATTCACTTCCTCTATTATCTTCAACCGTCTCTAAGCCTCCACCTGTCCCTCCTATTCCTGTAGAGCATCAATCTGCTCACACCATGCGCAAGTTTTCTTCAGCTCACGACCTGCGTAAAACAGCAAGGTTACAACAAGAGGCACTTGATAAACTGCCTCCTCCACCTGTGCCAAAGACACCAACCACACCCAAAATAGATTTATCTAGATCAAAGTCCTTAAACTCTTATAAGCTCCACCCTTCCAAGTCTCATCAACACTTGAATTCTAAATATACAAAATGGCCAAACACAGCTACTGCAGCTACATTTCCAATACAGTATCATAGTAACAGTAACAGCGACGAAGATGACGATGATATACCATTAGGGTTCTTACAATCGCCTATAAGCAGACCATCTTCTTTATTGAATGATGAAGATGAAGATGACGATATTGATCTAATACCAATTGCTAAACTTAATCAAGACGTACATAATTACACTAATAATACTAATAATGAAGAATATCTTACTGCTGCTGATAAGTATAAAGAAAAAGTAAAGGAAAGACTACAACTGGATGATGACAACACTCCAATTTCTTTAAGCTTAACGTATCATAAGTTTTGAAATAGCTGCTTTAAAATCTTATATACTTATATATATATATATATATATTTGAAAAATAAAGACCAAATACATAAAAGATTCATATGCTCTGGTAATTCTATAAACTCATTTCTGCTATTTTAATGACGTACCTCTTAGTATGTATTTGAGCTTTTAGGAACGCTCTTTCTTTTCAGAGAATCAGGAGAGAGAGGGAGAACCCTTTCCTACATTGAAAATAAACTACCTTCAGGCAAGCTTTCCGCCGCCCTGACGTTATCGGAAGACATGCCGTAGTACCACTCAGTGCCTCACATCCACTGCACGCATGGTCACTAGGATATTGATTGTCTAAACTTGCTCTGCAACAAACAATGTCCTTTCCATCAGATGAAAATTAAGCTGTATGAATCATTATTCAAAAGAAAATTTTTAATTCGCCCCTGACACAGATCTTATTGTTTCTTTTTTATGGCCTCGGTTATTCTATTTATATATCGATCTGTCATTCGAGATGTTTGACTAGTCTTAATGTATACATTCTCTTTATTCAAAACAGAAAGTCATAATTCTCTGTTACGGATCGAAAGACACAAGAATCAGCAACACGCTTGTGGAAAGGGTCTGAATAGAAGTGATAATTATTTCGGATTAAGTGGTTTTTTTTTTCTTGTAGAAGCAAACAAAAAATAAATCATCTTGGAGAGAATCAAAAATCCTGAGAAACTGGGAGGTGGCTGAGAAAACAGAAAAAGGTAAGTTATCAATGATTTGGCACCAACAAAGACGCCAAAAGTGGTTTTTTTTTGTTAAATAATTTCAGATGGACAATAAAAAAATTTTTGTCCTTTTATCTCTTGGACGCAGATGTGGTTGAAGACATAATGATGCCAAAAGCTCTTGCAGAAAGGAGTTTGCTAAATGCTGTTGTTTATTGCATTCATTGACTTTTTAATTTAAAATGCTGATTACAAGTAATTAATTTTTTTTTACTAATGGAGACGCCGTTTTGGAAAATTTTACTATGTAGGTTATGAAACTGCTGTAAACCTACTATCAACAATGCTGATGGCTACTATAGTTGCTTTTTCGACGGCAAATATCCATGGTACTGATGATGTCGCTGATTGCATTTGATGATTTAATTAATGCTTGATCTCAAGATCTGAAAATTCAAAACTGTTACTAAATATACCGTCTGTTGATCTTGACAACTTTGAGGCTTACAAAGGCTGCTGTACACGACATGTGAGATTACATTTGATTTAATTAGATGTCCTGCTATGAAATTCTTGCTCTCATTTCTAATAATACTATGAAATAGATTCATCATTCTTTTGCTTTGATTCCTACAAATTTGTGCAAATACTAGCAGCAGCAGCAACAACAAAACAGCAGCAAATACAGTACCGTGTAATCAAAAATACATTAAAATATAAACGGATAAATAATTATCCAATTTGATTATTATAGTCTGCAATTTGAAAAAATTAACGAGCTTCCTTGGCTCAGCCGGTAGAGCGTCAGTCTCATAATCTGAAGGTCGTGAGTTCGATCCTCACAGGGAGCAGATCGTCGAAATCCAATAAAATATGGATATTTTATTTTATCTATTGCTGGAGTTCTTGTTTTGTGTAACGTTGTACTAAAACCGTCAGGCTTGTTGTAACGCAAAGGATGCCGAAAAGGGTAATTCTGTGGAACCGAATCCTAACAACTAAGGTTAACTTATCAACAACCGTTGATTTCAAGGAAAGCCAACAAAAATCAAAAAAAAGTATTGTGACATATTAGACGAGTTTGGTAATAGAGTGCCACTAGATCAATACGAAATTTTCATATTTTTGAAAATATCGATACAAAAAGTAGTCCTGATGTTCTCTCAAACATATAAATAGCCTTAGTCCTTGCCTCCCCTTGCCAAAGAATTCATTCATCAATTAATTGAATCAATCACCTTTTCTCTTTATTTTATATTCATACAATAAACAAGTCTTAACTTTTGTTATAAAAGTTCCTGCTCTTATTCTTTTATCTTCACACCTTTACGAGCCTAACAATTGATCTTTTAATAAGATCTGGTGGTCACTATACTATACAAACCTCTGCTTAAACGCTAACTTTATTCAAACCTTTGACTTATAACAAGTCTACTCAACCCACTCTAACGAAGGAAGCCAAAACTACAGTATATAAACCCAAGACTCTCTCAGAAAAAAAGAAAAAAACAAGCAGTTCACCTTATCTTTTTATTTTATCATATACAATAAACAGGCAACCTTTTTGGTTATAAAAGTTCCTAATCTCTTCTTTTTATTTTTACTTTACTTTATACTTCACAGTTTGATCAACTTTAAAAGATCTGGTGGTCACTTCAAACACCTAAACTTATAAAATCTCAAGAAAACTCTATATTAACAATAACCCTTACAACTCCAAAGGAGAATAACAACATATTATACGAGTTTGGTAATCGAATAGCACAGGGTCAAAATGAAAGTTTGGTATAAACGAAACTTTCATAGTTTTGAAAGAGTAATTTATAAGCACTATTCCGATGCGTAGTCTTACAAAAAGAATAATCAATTAGGGTCATTTAGTAATCGTCCAGATCCTTATAGTAAGCCAGGCACTGCAGCTTTAACCACTACCGTAACAGATCGGATCAAATCGTACCTTGATTTAACCCACATCAAAAAGTATAAATGGAGCCCTCTTTTTCGCTGTATATTCCATTATCTCAGTTCTCAGGAATAAACGAATTCTCACAAATACTTGCTTGTCCCTGTCTTTTGTCTTTCTCATTCTAAAATTACCTCAAGTTATCTCATCCTGCTCACTTGGTATTGTAATGTAAATACGGATTTATAAAGTATTGAACGTATTATACGAGTAAATGATCTTGGTTTTTATCAATATTTTCTTTATTATTTCGAATTTGTACTAAATAAAAAAGACAGTAAATAACTGAAATAAAACAATATTGATTTCCATCTTCTAGAGTGAAGCTAAGAAACAAACTAAGGAAGAAGACCAGAAGGATGGGAACAGCCAAGAACACTTACTCGTATAATACGTTCAATACTTTATAAATCCGTATTTACATTACAATACATGTCGTAGAACGTGAGGTTGGTTGTTAATCTAGAGTAACTAAACTAAAGCCTGTAAATGCTGTGGAGAACAGGCGATAATGGTGTCCAAATATATCGCGGGAAGTCCAGGAGCCATGTGTCACAATACTGTCGATGGAGACACCCACTTGTGCTGCTAGTATCGCTACCTTTGGTATCGGTGCTTGGGCAGGTCTACCAAACTTAGTCATTATCTACTTGTATGCTTAAAGATACGCTCGAAATTTATGGGCGAGTTGTGGTCATGCAGGAAGCAGAGGTCCCTTTGCTCATTATGATGCTGGTCTTTGTTCCTCCAGAAACCTCGCGATATTTTTTTGTCATTGACCTTAAGGTTAACGCCATCCCACTTACATCTGCCAGCCTGGCATGACTAATTTTCGATTCAATACAAATCAACAAAGTCCTTGTTTGCTAGAAACAGTTGGTTCATGATATAGATGATGATGTGAGTGCTGGCAATGCGCTCTTCAGTTGCATGCCTTAATAGGCTGTTTGTGCTATCCATCAGAGAAAGAGTATAATGGCAATAACAATTAAAGCTAATAGTGAGTTTTTATGTATATTTTCAGAAAAAAAAAATACCGTGTTTACAAGTGGTAAACAGTAATCTCAATGAAACCAGCATCATGGTTTAAGACTATATTGAATGGCTGATTAAAGCCTGCTTAATATAGTGCCATTCTAAGAGGGATTGTGTTGAATACGAAGCATCAATTAAAAAGAATAAAGACTAGAATTAACCAGACTAAAAGATATATCTGTCGATTGACTTTATTAAAGACGAGTATTTATATTAAATGTGAGACACTCTTCAACTGAGGTCGTAAAACTTTTCATAGAGGCTTATGAATGACAATTGAGGCAATAAGAGAGTTAGGACGAACCGGGTGCCTTTGGTAAGACGATGATCCCTAATAACAATGATGGATCAGAGTTATTGGATACGCGTACCTTAAAATGCAGTTCCTGGTAATTAGCTTAAATAATGATCCGCACAGTTGTTTCAAAGCTGAAGTCGAATACTTGCCAGTTATTGTTTCATATGTGGTTAATAGTTGATCCACTAAGTATGAATACAACAGATTGTAGTCAACTTTGATGATGAAAGGGTGCCTAACAGATCTTGGGCATATGGAGTCATTTCAATACTAAACAAAGCGGTATGCTGAATAATCTCATTGTACTTTCCTTGGGCAAGGCGTTGTTCAAGCATTGGTACTACATTGTGTGAACTAAGAGCTATGACACCCAGGCAGCTAACTCTTTGCACAATGCTATTAATTAGTGGTTTCATAGAATGGATTTCTATTTTGGACATCTACTTGTCAGATGACAACTCTGCTGAAGATTGCAAGACTTCGTCAAGTAATTGCGTTGGATCATCAGGTTGTATAGAATTATTGATCATGACAGGGCCATTGTTATTGATGGTGCTACCGCTACTGCTAGTATCTATATTAGCTTTGCCATTTAGCTGATTTTATGATTGATGAACATTACATGCACCAAAAAATAGACTGTGATGTCTTCAACAAAACGTTTCAATAAATCATAAATTTTGCTTTCATGCAAAAGGATAAACTTCTTAAAGATAGTCGTTCTCAGGGCAAAAGCAATGATACAACAAAGATTACAAAAAACAAAAATAAAAAGAACAGTGTTAGGAATGAACTAACAGTCTTCTCTGACCATCCAGGAATCATCATTCTGACAACAGTGTCGTCGATAATATGGGCAACGGCATCTGCCGGTCAATGCTTCAGTCGGTTTCCCCAAAATTATCTGTACATGTGGTTAGTACACAGCCAATCTTTCTGTGGGACACCAAAAAGACAATACTCTCTGCTATGCATGCGCTTCACAAGTCAAAGAGAATCCAGTGTCAAAAGCTATTCATGGCAGAACTAGGTGAAGTATAGCCAATTGAGGCCATGTGCAACGAAGAGTATCGTGTTTCGCGCTGATACATAGAGTATAAGAGTATCTGAATAAGCTTATTACAGCTTATCCAGTGCCTGACCAAATTATAACATATAAGTAATAGAGTGGCATCGCACTAATCATCTGTACTGCAAATGATTTATATAAATATTCTGAGGTAACTCTTTGTCTTATTTTATACAAAATAGAAGGATAAAGGTACACTAAACACTTATTGAAAGAAAAACGAAAATGGATATCTAAAATTTATTGGAGCAAAGAGGTCATAAAGAAATGCGTATGAAGATGACGATTGAAAAATAAAAAAATGCTTACCAATGCGTATAATTGGAACTTTTTAGATTTAGAGAGGAGCCAATTTAACATGAATCAGATTCAATGCTACGTTACATCCTTTTAAAATGACATGTTATGCTTTGATGTGCTTCACCTTTATTTTTCTAGATTTGATTTACGGTTGAATATACTTGTTGTAGCCAACTTAATATTCTCTTGTGAATTGTCTTTTTTTTTGATAAAATAGTACTTGGTGGTTAGTGCTTACTTAATTGTTGTACAAAGCATACAAGACAGAAATAATGCGAAAATCATGATCATATATCGCACATATATCGTACAATGTTTTTATAATAAATCCTAGTAAATCACTCTTACACAAGTTTTTACTAATTTCTTATCCTCCCTTTTTTCTTTTTCTCTCTCTCTTTTTGTTTTTCTTTTGCTATTTTTAAAACTAGGTCGAATTAAGCAACATTTGATACACTCTTCATTGCTCTATTCATACAAGCGTAAAAGTTTGAAAAAGAAGAAGCAGAAGAGAGTATATCTGATAGAGCATGGCCACAGCAGCCCTAGTACTATTTATAGTGTCTGGAGCATTTGGGTTCATCGCGACGCTCTTGATCGCTACTCAAGCTTTCTGTAGACACAAGAAAATCTTGTACTTTTTATTTGCAAACAGCATCGTTACATTACCAGCTAGCATATGTAATATAATCACCTTTGCAGAATATATGCCCCAACATTGGAATTCTTTTTGTTATCTGTTTGTTAGCATGTTTTTGGTAGTATTACACTTTTGGCTATCACTGGATATTGGCACGCAGTTACGCATAGATGGCATACGATGGTCACATCCAATCATTATTGTTGGTCTTGTTGCCCTTTGCGGCACACTCATTTGTGCCGTAATACAAATTACTGTTTTATTTATACAAGGTGACAATTACCCTTTACGCCCTGTCTTTATCACTGGCGTCGTCTTTGCAGTTATCTCTGATGGATCACTCTTTTTTTACTCTTTATCACCATTAATTCATCTGAAATCAAAGCGAATTCATGAAAGCCAATCAAGGACAACAGCAATAGGCGTAAGGTGTAAAATATGGTGTCAATTATAAGCTAATTAATATCTTTTTATAGGTTTGGTTCCTATTTATTCAATTTATTTGGTATGCGGTTTATGGTAGTCTTTATATATGGTTCTTTTGTATGCCTTGGGATAAATTTTCTATTTTGTTAGTATTCGACTATTTTTTACGCTATATTCAGTTTATTATGTACACCTTTCCCCCACCATGTTGTATTGTACACTTGATGTCGCAGCATTTCTTTTCCAGCTTATCCACATACAACTATACTAATGACAGCTGTAATGGTTCAACAATTAATGCTCCACTCGACTCTTTAAAAGCTAAAGATAGTGTACATCAGTATTATTCTTACTCGAGTAGTTCATCCAAAGAAAACGCTTTACGATTTGAACAAAACAACTTTTATAATATGCAATGTAAATAAGACACACTCCTACATTTATAAATGTTTATACACACACGCGTATATATATAATGGTTATTTCCTTGGTTTACAAACAAAATGGCATTTTTATTCCTAATTTGCATAGCGTATACTCCTTATGACGATGGTATTTAACACTGGATATTGTTCAAATTCATGATAAATGATCCTATACAGATTCTAGTTTTTTCAAATGGTTATATTTGGGCAGGACTTCTTGAAGATAATCCAAATGTCTAGCATGAAGTGTTGCCTGTGACTAAAATAAGCATATTAGTTTTCTTTCTTATTTGTATGATTTCATATATATATATATATTTGCATACAGGTAGTGGTTCACTTTGTATTCTTCTCTTGGAATCCGCTCCATAGATGACTGTTAAATCTGGAATAGTTTCATTACTTTCAGTTGAACAACCAGCACCGATAACACAATGATTTCCTATTGCTGTATTTCCCAAAATTCGACCTCTGGCTTCAATGATATTGTTGTTACCTATGCGTGATCCTTCGACGTCTTCCCAAAATGATTTTTTTGTTGGTTGAATGTTTATTATAAACTGATTACTTACAGCAGCCAACTTCAAATTCGTTATTATCACCAATAACAAGAGGCGTAGGGTTCCTAGTAGGTGTGTTATGAATTGATCTCTTTTATTAAATTGTTATTTTACTTGTTAAAAATAACCACGTTCTCTTCAATTATATTATTCTTTCCAATATAAATAGGTCCATTTTCTGCTATTATTCGACATTGTGGATGAAGCACCGTGCCTTTTATAAAATAAGTTTCTCTCTCTTTTTTTCCCCTCCTCTTTTCCTTGCAAACTATTCCGCTTTACCTGCTCCTGAGAAAAAAGAATGAGTTATAATCCTTGGTGAGGTAAAAGAGGACAAGTTACCTATAGATATTTCTCCTCTGAGTTCCGTCTCTTGACAGACAATGGACTTCGGTCCAGCAGTAATACGGTTTCTATTACATGTTAATCAAGAAGGTCAATATAGCAAGTACATCAGTGTACCTTATCATTTCAAAAAGAAAAAAAAAGGGAAAAAAATTCAGTTTAAGAATATATTTGTATTTTAAACACATATGCTTCGTTTATCAAACATTACAAGAAATGGGATTTCAAGAAGCCATTATTACTGTCGCTCTATATCAACAACAAAGATCCAATATCAGCCGCGATTGTCTCGTAGTATTTCAAATCAACAGAATATCACAGAGACAGTACCTCCACTAACAACTAATCCACCATTATGGTCAAAGCAAATGACATCATTTCCTCACATTCGTTATATAAGTCCTGCATTATTTGGAATTGCCGTGTCAGTTTCATCATTTGTAACGGCTGCTGTCATATTTGATCGTAATCAGCAAACACTCTGGGATCGCTTTCGTAAACATGGACGGCAATGGACGTTTTTTGAAGTAACAGAAGAATCAATGCTTAGAGACTTGTGGAGAGAGAAGAGAGAACTGATCCGAGAAAAAAGAGAGATATTACTAGAGAAATTGCAAGAGAAACTCGAGAAGCTAACGCTGCCGTTGGACGTGAAAAGAGCCTTTTGGATGTTGGGTGTCAAATTGGCAACCATGACAGAATCAGAAAAGACACTGTCTGTACTTATCGCTCTTAACTCACTGGTTTTCATAGGCTGGCAAATACCTCGCTTCATGCCGTTTATGGGTCAGTGGTTTTTACATTTACCAGGTACAAAACGAAACCTGACCTTGTTGACAAGTTGCTTCTCTCATCAAGAATTCTTTCACTTTGCTCTCAACATGGTCGGTCTATGGTCTTTCGGTCGAGTTGTGCACGATACATTTGGAAGGGAGCAGTTTCTAGCCATGTATTTATCAGCTGGTGTTGGTGCTAATGTTGTCAGTCACGCATGTAGTTTGGCTTTACGAAATTCAAGACCTTTACTGCCAAGTCTCGGTGCAAGTGGTGCTATATACGGTCTTGTGGCCTCTACTGCTATACTTCATCCTAATTCAAGCATCAGTCTTATCTTTTTACCCATGATTCCAATCAAATTAGGGTAATTGATCTCTAAACATAGCAGGGACGTATCTAACGTTTATATATATAGTTATGCTTTACCAGCATTAATGTCATTTGATTTAGCAGGTATTTTACTGCGATGGAAAATGTTTGATCATTTCGTAAGCTTATGGCTCTTGCAATATTTTGATTTATATTAACAGTTATATATTAGGCACATCTGGCAGGAGCTGGTTTAGGTATAGGATATACATATTATGGAGAACGACATATCTGGGCACCGCTCGTTCGTAAAGTACATGAGATCCGAGAAAATAGTCGGAATGGAGGTGGTAGAGGACAAGGGGGTGTTTATATGTTGACAGAGACTCAACAAAGGCCGGAAACCATACAGTCTCAGACTAGAAAATGGACAAAATGGTTTTAAAATAATAAAAAAAAAACTTTTTCATTTCAATTTCAATATAAAAATTTTGTTTGAGATATTAGTACCGAATGATCCAAGAAAAGATTCCCTAGAAAAAGGGAGGGGATCACCAGTGTGGAAACAAACAGATGTCTTTGGTGGCAGTGTTGTGATATATACAACTAGACCGACAGAGTCAGTCTTACGCATACTCACAAGCATTAAGGCCCCATTAAAGATTTTATACTACAGCTGACATTCTATAGTTTATAATCCCCGAGGATTATTGTCAAATTGTGGTCTCGTAAAAAGTTTGCAAAGTTAGAATTACTTATTTACTACGATTAAGAGTGGTTTTAGCCTTTTTAAAATAGAAAGTCTTTTCAGAAAGTAAAGTCGCATTTTTGCAGTTTTTATAATACAATTTATACGAAAAAACGACAAGTTAGCGCGACATATCTTTCTGGAAATGGTGTACACAAATCGCAATAAGAGCTATTGTAATTGTCATTTAATAAGGATAGTCAAAGAGTGCAGAGTTATTTCCTTTTTTAATATTTTATTCTATCAGACTACTACTGAACAAAAAACTAGACGACAAGATTGTTTTTAAGCTTGAGAATATTATCTAAAAGAGCATTTTAAAGCCAAACCGTACTGGTTGCTAATGAAGGTTTGTCCTCTCTTCCCCCTTTGTTTTGCATCTCCGCAAAGTTTCTTGATTTTCATGCCTTTTTCCTCTCATTTAAACAATGTCATCTAATAATCCATTCTATGAACTAAGTCCGGATATAAAGAGTTTATTGACTATAGAAACGTTTAGAGTAAATACCAAGTATAACACTTTACAAGCATATGGTTAACTTGTTTCATAGGAAAATGTCTCAACAGCCGATTTTGTTGAAAAGATTTCGACTGGTGTGATTGGACAAATGAATCAAATAGGAGGAAATAGTAAGCCTTTCCTTTTTTCCTTGTTCCTACTCGATTAATTACTAGTAAATGTAGCGACGACTTTTGATCCTAAGCCGTTTATTCGAACCTTTGAGAGTGTACTCGAAGAACTTTATCACTTAAAGACTCGTGTACAGCAGCAGTGTAGCGAACTTGAAAACAGTACTCAAGTCGCAGAAAAAGAGTATCGCCAAAGTATAGCAGACCTGCATGAATCATTTGACGTAAGATAAAGAGAAGGTCAACTTATACAGGACTATTGACATACCTTTTTTTTTTTTTTTGCAGGATGTCTATCATTCATATGACAGCTTGGAAAACAGAATAGGCGAAGTAGGCAAGACTGCTATTCGTATAGGTGAACAGTTGGAAACGATCGATAAAGAGCGATCAAAGGCTTCAGAAAGTAGAGATATCATAGAGTATTTTATGGAATTTCAGGAAGGCAACAGTGAGCGTTTAGACTCTTTAGTGCAAACAGGAGAAGAGGGACAGTTGAAGGTAGAGAGAGAGAGGCATTTGGGGGATCAGTCTATTCTGATAGTAGTTTTAATAGGCTGCTGTCATTGCTAGAAGATTAAATGCGGTTTCTAAAGAAGTAGATAATGATCCAGAAGCTAGAAGAGCGATTGAAAAATTCTGTGAAAGTTTCGAAAATGAAATTCTACAAGATTTCAACAAAGCATATACGGAAGGTGATCCTCGTCAGATGGCAGTAAAGATGATTTATAAGATGTTAAACCACAGCTATGTGACTCAATCTATATTCATAGCACTGTGCCAAGGTTCTGTTCGAGTTTAATGGTGGCACGTCATGTGTGCAGATATATGTTAATCAGCATGAGTTCTTTATGTCAAATATGACAATGGAAGATACAGATCAAACCAGAGATTCCGAAGAGTAAGCTTTTCTTCTATACATTGTTATATGTGCTAAATTGTTATCGCTAAAGCAATGCAGATTTATCAAACCCCAATGTGCCATCACCTGAAGTGGATACGAGTCTTGTCAAATTGTATGATGATATCCGTATTACTGTACGCCGGGAGGCTGGTATCATTTCAAGTGTATTTCCACAACCAGCAACAGTCATGCAAGTCCTTTTGCAGCGTATATTTGCTCAATCTGTAAATTAGCGTGCTTTTTTCTATGCTTATACTATGTACTGATGATTTATAGATACAAAACCATATTGAGTTATTGCTTTCGAGATCAGAAAAATGCTCACACTTGGCCTATTTAAGAACATTAGCCTCTACACATGCAGAAACAAAGAGACTTATCGAAAACCTCAAGTTTTATTGTGATAAAGAGGTTCCGCTCAAGGATCCTACAGATATAAACGGGCTGGCTAGTTCTGCTTCTCCTGACGAAACCCTGGACAGATGTATGGATGATTTATTCGTACCTTATACTGAAGGCGGTCGATACCTAAAGAAGGAGAAGGAGTCTCTTCATGAATTATTTGGAAATATCGTATCTGAATTTCTTAATGCCATGGTAAAGAAAGCTTCCTTTTTTTTTTAAAAAAAAAAAAAACAAACAAACATGATCTAAGTATTCTCTTTCTGCAGCAACGTCGAAAGATAACATCTGCACGTAATCAATCTGTATTGACAAGAACACTAAATCAAATATCTTCAACATCTGGAGGCATCATGTCTCCATCCGCTTCTTCGCCATTATTAAGTGAAGATGGAGTTTCACAGGCCGGAATAGATCATTTTGGCCGAATCAAAGAAAGCTCAACCAATTTGTTTGTAGACGAAAATGGTTTTTGCTTGTTATCGTCAGGAGCAATTCTAAAGATGCTCAATATGCATGCTGAAGCAATCATTCGATGTGTTGAGCTAGAAGATGTACAAGAATCGTAAGTGTTATGACACGTATGCTTGAGGCCGCTAACTTGCCTTCACGATAGAATGGGCTCTTTAAAGAAGATCTATAGCATTTTGATTGATTTTGTTGGACATAAATACTTGGACATAGCCATGGATGAGTAAAACACTGGACCAATTAGCCTAAAAGTGATTGTATTTAACTGTTGTTCTTAGGATTATTGAAATTTTAAATAACAGACGAGATCAACCAGATTTGTCTTGCTTTTCGGCTGTCAAGTCAGCTGCAGACATAATGCACCTAATGCAGAAGCACTTTGAATCTGCAATAGTAAAGTATATACATTTTTAAATTCTATCACTAATCCTGTCTGGGCTATACTAGTTACCACTTGTAATCACTGTGCCTTCATCCCATAGAGATATGCTTGCACTCAAAAATGTCTTTATGGCTAGTGTGGAACGAAAAATAAACAGTATACTTCAAAAGAGCATAGAAGGAACCATGTTTTGGCTTGGGGAAATATTGAGCCGACAAAAAAAGAATGATTTCCGGCCCAAAGATGAAGAAGTGGCAATGATGAACATGGGTACGCAACCGTGTATGCAGAGTATTGAGTTTGTTACCAAGGTGTATCGAGCAGCATCCAATGCGCTTCAAGGCAAAAACTTTGAAGCTTTTCTAAAACGCATTGGCAATGGATTACATTCGTAAGAAAAAAAAAAAACAACTACAATGATATTGTAAATTAACACATACCTTAGTATGCTTTTGGAGCATTTTAAAAAGTTTTATGTTACTCCCACAGGTGGTCTTTTGGTTACAAAGTATAACAAATACATTGTTTATATCAAAAAAGACACTAATTCGTTCCAATTTGTGCTAATATGTGCAGAGATATTGCAAAATACCAGGAACTTGTCAAAATGTTCAAAATTGCTGTACTTGATGAAAAGTTTGAAATGTTACGCCAATTAGGAAATATATTTGTCGTGAAACCAGAAATTCTCAAGTCTATACTGTCTGAAGGGTACCTTGCCCGGTTAGACCCATCTGTGCTTTACCCTTACTTGGAAAAACGAACTGATTTCAAGACGGCCAAGTTGGACAGATTGCTTGGCATTTCTGTGGATGAAGTAACTGAAGGACAGAGCACAGAGGTGTCAGCAGCATCAAACAATCAGCGTAGGACCGATCAGAAAGGAAAAGGCCAAAGAAGATCACTCTTTGTAAGTGATAATGAGATACTCAAGGATATCATGAAGAATTATACAAGCAATCGTGATTTCCTTTCTGCATTCAATCTGTCTTGATTCTCTTTATCTATTGTTTTGTGTTTTTTTATTTCTGATTTATCATTATATTGAAATATACACACACATTTTAAAAAGAGATTCCCATCACGCAAGCCAGAGAATGAATATACTCTCATTGTGGAACCTTACTTTTTAAAGTTTGATTTTTATGATATAGCCAAGTAATACGTCATAAAAAGGGAGATGTCTTGGTTTAGTGCAATTATTAATCCTGATTTCTACTTGTATTTAATCCATATGCCATCTTTCTTTTTTTTTTCGTAAGGTTTATTATTTATTTCCCCCAATTTTGAAAAGAGACTATCCATTTTTTGTGTAACGATGAGTCCGTTTGTAGATCCAGCAATAGTAACCTTAGGATGGAGCAGATCAGAAATCAAAGACAAGTACAGAGGGTACTTCTTTTGAGTCTATGCGAAATCAGAAAGAAAACAAAAGGATTGTAAGCAAGCAACAAGATATATCACTTTAACAAACAATACACCAATTGTTACACAAAATAAAAGAAAGCTGAGATCGACATCATTTTTAATTTGGTATGGCAACTGGGATGCCATGTCATATATGGTATAGCGCAACTGAAACAACGTTCCTAAGTTTCTTTGTGATTTATATAGAGACTTGGTAAATTCATTATACTTTTTCTTTAGCCTTTAATCCAATGACTACACAAATGAAAAATAATGTAGCTTTTAAAACTGCAATAAATATACTCCTGTTCATTCTATCATTACTGATCCTATTCACCTCCATGAGTTATTTCATAAAAGGTAATAGTTTATTTGCATCTTTTAAGTATTCATTTATCTCATTCGTCTTTAGTGCCAAGGGCAGCTTCAAAATGCCATAACATGCTAAATCAAGGAAGATGGGAATCAGACGATTATACCCTATGGAAGCCAGCAGAGTGTAAAGTCAAGTCATATACAACAGAAGAACTATATAATTGCCTTTCAAATTCGAGAATCATCTATATCGGAGACTCTATCATGAGAGAACAATATTACGCAATGGCAGAGATGTTTCGATCAGGACGACCAGGCCAAGATGCGATTCATGCTGATCAAGCAGTTTACTTGGAAGAGCACAACGTAACTATCGAGATGTGGTGGGACCCGTTTTTGAATACGAACAGAACCATTGACGTGCTGCAAGGGAAAGAAAAATTACAGCACACCCTATTGATTCTAGACACAGGCGTGTGGTACATGAAGGACTACGGCACCAATTATCTTCGTGAATGGAAAAAGGCAGTTGATAGAGTTTTTGATGCTGTGCAGAATCACCAAATTGCAGACAAAGTCATGTTGTCCCCCGTAGAAGCTTTGGAATATGATCGCCTTTCTGAAGCAAGAAAAAAAGTGATGACACCAGGAAAGATCAAAATCATGAACAATTATTTACGAGAACAAGAGCGTATACTAGAGGATACAGTGACGCCCTTAGCTATTCCGTTTGTCTGGAATGAAATATCAGCTTCATCCAAGAACAAAACTCTGGATGGACTTCATTTCCAACCCCCAGTGACAACAGCCCAAGCACGAATTGCTTTAAATTATTACTGTAATGATAAGCTTCCACTGAAGTTTTCAACGGAAGCTACGTGCTGTCATCACTCTAGTTATCCTGTATGGTACTTGGCGGCGGTTGCTCTCTCTCTTATATGCCTTATTGTTGTATTTATTCTTATGACTTTTGGTTATCGTGCCAATATTATTGATACCCTATGCGCTGTAAAAATTCAATTAAAGACACAATGTTGATGTCAAACATGTTTGTTATAAAGATTACCAATGTTTTGTATTTTAAATACCAGTAACAGCACTGTAGAAGCTTATAAAGCCTAATACGTTTATTGCTCAAGTTTACTGTCGATCATTAGACAATTTTGTTTTATCATCTGATAGGTTGACACATCCCAAAATTGGGCTTTGATCTCCTCCCATTTCACTCTCAGTACTGCTAGTTGTGAGATGGATCCAACCAATGACAGCAAAGAGACGAATAAAAGTTAAATGCAACCATACTCAACGATGCTTTGTTTAAGAGACTCTTGTTAACTATCACTTCACTCTTTTATTCTCAAAACATGCTCGATTCTGCAGCTGGGGTAGAGAAATCTCTTTGTAACTTTCTAAAACGCCCGTTTTGGAAATTAAGTTGGGACGGCTTTTCTTATAAAATTTGACTGGTTTTTTTTACAGAGAAAAGAGAACCACTTCATAGACTGAAATTTTTCTCTTTTTGTTACAAAAACTTTATTATATATATTATGGCATTTGAATCTCGAGGTGGAGGACGTGGTGGCCGTGGCGGTAGCCGTGGCGGCAGAGGTGGATTTGGCGGTGATCGTGGCGGTCGTGGTGGTGGCCGTGGTGGTGGAAGAGGTGGATTTGGTAAATTCAATCATTGACATTATGAAACTTGAACTAATACCCTCTCTGTCTTGTAGGTGGCCGCGGCGGCGGAAGAGGCGGTGCTCGTGGAGGCGGTGCCAGAGGTGGTCCCCGTGGTGGTGGAAGAGGTGCTGCCCGTGGCGGCCGTGGTGGCGCCAGAGGTGGTGCTAAAGGAGGTGCCAAGGTTATCATTGAACCTCACAGACATGCTGGTATCTTCGTTGCCCGTGGAAAGGAAGATCTTTTAGTTACCAAGAACCTTGTTCCCGGTGAATCTGTTTATGGTGAAAAGCGTATCTCTGTTGATGGACCTGATGGCACAAAGATCGAATACCGTGTATGGAATCCCTTCAGATCTAAGCTTGCTGCTGCCGTCCTTGGTGGTGTTGACCATGTTCACATTGCTCCTGGCAAGAAGGTTCTTTATCTCGGTGCTGCCTCTGGTACTTCCGTTTCCCATGTTGCTGACATCGTTGGTCCTGAAGGTGCTGTATATGCTGTCGAATTCTCTCATAGACCCGGCCGTGATTTGATCAATATGGCAAAGAAGAGAACTAATGTTGTTCCTATCATCGAAGATGCTCGTCACCCTCAAAAATACCGTATGCTTGTCCCTATGGTCGATGTTATCTTTGCTGATGTTGCACAGCCTGATCAAGCCCGTATTATCGCATTGAACGCTCACAACTTTTTGAAGAATGATGGACACATTGTTATTTCTATCAAGGCTTCTTGTATTGATTCTACAGTCGATGCTGCCACTGTCTTTGCCCGTGAAGTCAAGAAACTTCAAGAAGAAAGAATTAAGCCTCAAGAACAACTTACACTTGAGCCTTACGAAAGAGATCACGCCGTCGTTGTCGGTAAATACGTTCGCTTTAAGTAAAGGAAAAAGTGATATTGGTGTTTTATTTAGAACTTTTTTGTAAATACAGTTTTTTCATATCAAATCATTGTGATTTTAGAATTTGGTGTCCCCTTTTTTAAACTACCTTGTCATATTTCCCTTTTTGACGCTTTTAATAAATCACCTGTCTCAGAAAAAGTATCTAGTAGCAAAAGTTCCTAATCAAATTTTTTATTATAAACTATACTTATTATTACTGATTGAATCAACCTTGGACCCATCGCTGAATCATCAAGCCTTTCTCACGGTGTTTCCACATGAGGACTGCAGTCCTTTGCAATGCTTTATAATTCTAAAAGATCATCTGTCTTTAGCTCCATATGCCGATCGTACTTTATTTGTCTACTCTTTGTGATCTAATGAGCCCTTGACAACCTCAGCAATCTCTACCAGGTTCCGTTCAGTACTTCGCCTGTCCAATGACTAGCGAAACATTAGTGTTCGTTCTATTACTCCATCCTAAGTTCTCCCTAAAGAAGACATCGCCGCCCTTGGTAGCTGGGCTAGTTCCTCGACCTTCGAAAATCACTATCGATGCGAACATATGTCTTTGTTCAACTTCAGTGACGTCTTCCTCACCAATCCCGATGGTACCATGGGTATTGATACAGAATAAGACTAATTCTTTGATGTTTTAAAGTCAATGTTTAAATTTATTGATTTTCGCTGTTTAACAATAAAAACAAGATAAAATATAAAAAAAAGCATATATCCTTCCTTGCTGGCTTATCCTCTAGTCTATTGACCAATAACCAAGACTTGTGATGCTACAAAACTTGACTAAATTTATAGACAAGGTATGTATACGATTAACTAGGAGACTAATGAATAAAAAATAATTCATTATTCGCTTTATACTTACCGAAGCGTTAAGGAGTGCACTGCTGTTATATACAGCGCATTAAATCCAGGAGCGCCGTTAGTCTTTTGAAGGGGGGAGGACTTTCATTGTCATGTTTAAGATTATAAACAAAGATACCATATATATTTAATGTACTGTTCACATCGCGATTCCAAACCGTGCCACAGGATTTACACTTGAGGACAGAGTGTACTCTTCGCTTTGATCCAGCAATGGGGATATTATTTAATAGTTTGGGTTTGCACTTGTTACGGATCTAGCTCGTTAAATACTCGTCAACCGAAACAAATTCGGTTCCCTTATTAGATTGTTTGCATTTTCGTTTGATTTCCTCAGTAATACGTCTAGTAGGTGCACCTCGTTTGCCTTTCATACTTGAACCAAAAGAACCATTTCCAAACGCAATAATCCGTTTATGTTGAGAGGAGGAAGGGAGGACAGCAGGGGGTAGAGGTACATATTTGCTTTTGTTTGGGGTTTGGTTTTTAGCGCCAATTGTGCTTGATGTGCCATATTTCTTGCTGTTGTTGTTCGGATACGTTTATGCTCTGTAGAGTCTACTGCAGTAAAGATAGATGGTATGCCAGGATCAGCAGCCCAAATTTCTGCATCGTCAACGGAATCAGCAGAATCCTTGGGCGTCTTTGGTTCTCTTCTAGGTTCATCTTGGATAGCGACAGTCTTTTTTAAACATAAAGGATACAGTATAGCCATCAGTAGTGATCACATTTCTACAATGACAACATTTATTTAGTTCAAAAGTAAAAGTCATGTAAGCATACGTACGCAAGCTTCTTTAAACGTGAAGTCAAGCTTTCAAGTGTCTTGTAGCCTATTTTTGAAAAATCAAAGACATTAAAGTACCATAAAGTTAAGTCATTATCGTTCTTTTGACTTGGTTTGATCTTGTTCACATTGCTTGGCAAGTCTCCAAAACTCTTGAGCGTCAATCTGTATACTCTTGGAATCAACCTTGTACAGGGGAAGTAAAGAAAAGTATCTTGATCCTCGAGGGCCAGTGTATTTGAGAAGCATGAAGGTCTTGTCTTGTACTGTTTTGATAAAGGTTTGAACAGCATCGATATCCTTTTTATCAATATTTCTAAGGTCTTATTGGAATTGATAGTGATCAAGATGTTTTTCTTTAATAATCTGTACTTGCTTGTGTTCAACTTCTTGACAAAAGGAAGCTTTTGTAACTTTCGATGGACATAACTGATTGATGCTTTGCCTTGAGGTTTCATTTCTTGAATGAACTTCTTTTTCTCCATTTCTTGCTTTATAAAATGTAACCATTTCATGTGGCGTCGAGGCTTGGCATACAAATTAGCTTCACTTGGTACATCAGCATTACTGGAGGCATCGTACATTGACCAGAAAGTAAGAAAGCTATTGGCAATGGTTTCATGTCGCTCATTTAGATCAACAGTGGATGGCCAGGCAGACTCGAGGTTCATATTTTGTTGAAAGATATGCTTTGCTAAAGGCTTGCGCTGTTTGACTGTTAAACTATCACCACAGAAGTAAGGGGAAGCCTTTTCTGATAAGACATTAAGAATATGCCTGAGAGTTCGATCCTCATTAGAGCATACATAGGTGCGGATCAGTGTTTCATATTGCTTAGCCATGGATGATACAATGGCCATATACCCTTTACTTGCATACTTGTACAAGTCAGATTGAGTAAGAGGAGTAGATTTACAAAAGACCTTGAAACTCTTCTTGATATTATCGGATGCATGCTTTCCTTGGCCAGCAAAGATGAAAAATATATTATAGAACAGGCTTTGGACGACCACGGGTAATTCTTCACCATTCTCGAGAAGTTCCAAGAAATAGTAATTAGCAAAGATGGATCCAGCGTATACCAATTGAGTAATATGGTCAACTACTTCTTGAATCAAGGTAACGAACTTGGGATATTTGCAAGTATTAGCCAAAGATGTCTTGATTACAAAGGTTTTCTCGACGGTATCCTTGGGCTTTGGAAGTTTCGTTTTTGATTTCTTCATAGGACGCAACTTGCTGGAGGAGCGAGAGTAATCAGCTCCACCACAAGAAGGATATCGAATTTGTTTTTGCTCATTAGTTGTTGTCTTGTTCTTTTTTTCCTTTTTAAGTGCTTCTGACTTATCAATCTTGCTTTGATATTTTTTAAAGGTCTAGATAGGAGCAGAAGTACGGTTAGTGGAAGGAGTAGGAGCAGGTAATACATCTTGAACACTCGTATTTTTGTTGACTGTAGGTATAGGTGTATTTTTATTAATGACAACATTTGAGGAACCAGAAGCAGACGTGTCTTCTTTAGCAGCTTTCAAAGTAGTACAGATGTTCTTGTCTATTGGAAATCTGTTATAAATAGGTTCAGCTAATAGATGTTCGCTTTACCTTTTCTAAATAATGGTGTTTCTTGAAAATTATCATCATTTGCTTCAAAAGCTGTATTTTTGAATAAACTTGTTTGCGTATGCGCAAACAAAGAAGGCAACCCGCGATCGACGGCTAATGGGCACTTAATAAATGTCATATCAACTGTATATCTTACATACCTTTGCCCTTATTTCGCTTTGCCTTTGGAGGCGAAGGGTCAGCGTCTTTCTTTCGCTTCATGTTGAAGTAAAGAAAAAAGGAAAAAGGAAAAGTAAATGCGGATAGCCTTGTCATGTTAAATTAACGATCGACAACATTGTTTTTAAAAGTAAAATGTTTCCCGAATGAAAAATCGTTCTACTTTTGACACACTACACATCTTGCTGTGGTCTTCAAAGCAGGTATCTTTATAAAAGTGATGAGATAAGGGTAATAAAATAGCACAGGAGTCATTTAAACACCAGGAACAGTGATTGAAGAAGTAGCAGTAAAGAGGGAGCAGAAGAGGCACAAACTCCAATGTCATCCTTATGTTCCATGATAAAATAGCAGTACGTAATTCATACACACGTATGCAGTATGTGTCTGGCTGATGCATTGAAAGTACTGCTCAAAATCATGTCCTCAGCGGAGACTGTCATTTCTAATGCTGCTTTCCAAGGTAAGGACGATGTCATGGAAGCTTTTGTCAATATATTCAATAGGAATAGCCGCAGCAACTTCTTCCATTGTTGGCAGGTTGTAAGTGCGTCTATCGCCTTCTTCGATCAAACGCATTCTCATCGATGAACTGACGATAATAAAAGGTGATCCGCTTTCAGCAGAGTCATTGTTATTAGCTATATCCTCGCTGTTGATGCTGGAGCCCTCATGGTTGCTCAATATCTCATATGCATGACGATAAATGCGTGCAAAGGAATTACATTGAGAAAGGGGATTCAAAAGTTTTCTATATTCTCATTTTCCAGATTTTCATTCCTTTCTGATCGTCTCTGAGCAACATACGAAGGATCATAGATGTACAATTGGGCATATGAAGACGCGTTGCCTTTAATTGGAATCAAAGGGTCTTGACAGTGGCAAAGGGCGCCGTAGATCTGGAGCGCGCTTAGACCACCTCTGTTGTTGGCATTACGCTCCTCAGCTCAGACAATGTCACATCCCAAAGAGGTAAATGCAAAGGCAACGTTATATTGACGAAGGTTGTCCTTAAAGTAACGGCCTTGGGCGTCCGTACGTTCGAGCAAGTCCTTCAAGTACTCAGGTGGATCAGGCAAGCATTGCAACTGGACTGATCCTTGCTTGTAGCATGACTCTCAGCTTAGGTTTCTCATCGAAAATATCTCTTGCCTTTCATCAATCCAGTGCAAGGCGTGACAGTGTGAGCATTCCTTGTCCATACGTCCAAGGTCCAAAGGACGAAGGCGAGAAAGCTGCAAAGTATAAGCAGCAGAAATTATCTGAGAAGGTTCTACTCTAGGTCTTTCCCTACGTCTTACTGGGCTGCCTTCCTGCTCTTTTTGTTTAGCTCGACGTCTGCGTCGTGTGGCTGCAACTTGCTCTCTGCATGCTTGGCAGGTACGGTAAGCTGAGTCAACTGGTAAAGGTGCACGGCAGGATGAACAGTTGGTAGTAGGTGCGGCAACGGTATTATTGTTCATGTACTAATGTAAGATCAAGCGTTAGTGAACAGATCCTAGTACAATGCTTTTAAGAAAGTGCTTATTTTTGCATGTACCTAAAGGTTCTTATTGGAGGTGCAATATTATTATGAATATAAAAAAATAGGAAAAAAAAAAGAGTAAAACGGGATCAAGGTACAGCAGTGGCAATAAAACATGTATGCTCATGCGTCGCGTGTTTGGTCCAATACAGATGGTAAAAAAAAATACGATTATTAGTGTTGCAACATACTGTATTTTTATAAAATATTGTCGTAAAATAAAAGAGTTATTTACGTAAAAAGATGACAAAGAAAAATATGTTTGAATAAAATGACATCATGTCAAAAGAGAGAGGTGTAATGGGTATATGTAGAAAAAGAGAAAAAAAGTATGTTAGTATTAGAGCATATATCCTAATATTAGTTTTACTTACCACTAAGGTGCATTCTGGGGAGGGTAACGATAACTACCCAGGATAGTTAAGCAAAAAAAAAAAAAGGAATGGAGGACAGAGAGAACCCAGGGCGTCAGAAGAGACTATTGGGGAACGTTCCAGATACACGCCAGAGAGCAAAGAGGGCGGGACAAGCGAGTCAGAGCAAGGACCATGAGAACAGGCTAGTTTTGATTGGTGAATCTTTGAACACTCAGAGGGACACTTGATAGCTGCTGTAAAGAAGCAAAAAAAGGACTCAAATAAAATGGGTTTTTATATGTTTTTCTTTCAAACAAGTTTTAAGATCGGGTACCTAAGACAAAGAAATCATGTCAAATAGAAGCAATCTGCTTCGTGACCATTCAAGAATATGCATTGCCAAATATGACTACATGTTCTTCTGATTTCATGGAAAAACCGAATAAAGAATTTAAACTTTTACAAAGAGACTAAAGAGGGCTATTTCAAATATTTAGTTAATTCAACTCCAAGGCAGCCCACCTGTTAATATTACTGTCAAATGGAATAGTGAGCCATGTTCTTTTTGTATTTGTTATTACTCTGATAACCTTACAACGGTTTCAATAATTGGTTTAATGGTTTTGATGCTCGGACTACGGGCAATCTACATGATGCTGTATATATTTGGCTTGTCGTAGTATCCTCCAGGTTGTCACGTTTGCATGAATTATTACGTGTATAATTATGATAATGCTTCATAAATTCATACTCTACATCAAATAATGTTGAGGTAACAGATATACTTCTCACAAGATGCCTATTCATTCTATTAGTTCCTCTTTCAACTTTGAATAAAGAATAAGAATTGGAAAGCATATTTGTTCCAATCAACTAAATGCGGCCAAAGTGGAGGGAAAAGAAAAGATGGTCATCCACCCTACTATTTGAACTGACTTAAAGCCTTAGCTTTTCTCCATCCTAGAAGCAAGTATAAAAATAAGATGGCATAAAAAAAGATATGGAGTAGCAATACTTGAAAAAATATTACTATTTCTTTTTATTGAAGATAAAGCGTGACATGAATGAACCCATTTCAGTAACGGTGTGCTTCGACAATAATAAATATAGTGCCTCTTTGACAATAAATGCAAATTGAAATTTATTGTCCGCATCCACTGTCTTTTACAACAAAAGCATACATGAACACTGACGTGAAGACGTTGATACCTGATATGTATAATGTTACCGTCAAGGTAAAAGTCTTGGATCTATTAGTTAGCTTGGAAACAAAACATGAAAAGAGTAAAACTATAATGGACATCTCATGTTTATAATTTGCCAACCACTTGTAATTTTCCCTCTTAGCTAATTCTGACATCAAGATTCATGAATACCTGGTTGGAGATAGTACAGCTTCTGTTATTCTCAATACAATGCAAGGTAAATGCTTGAAATATGTAGAAAATGAAATAAAAAGTTGATAAACTTGACTCTATAGATCTCGAGATTATGAAGACTTATGAAATACAACAAGGCCATACACGCGTCATAGAAGGATATCTAAGGCTATACTCCAAGAGAGTTGTGCCTGATACAACTGATATTGAACATGTCAACACTGAGCATAATAGATCATTTATACAGTTCAATCGAAAGTTATAAGGTTATTTTATTGACCTTGTCCATCTTGTCCACTTCAGCCTGCACCAGATCCCTCGAATCCTTTAGGACTTTATGCAGTTGCAGTACCAATATAATCTTATTACTACTCTCTTGACCAATAAATTCTTTTGGCTGAGGTAGTCCCTTTGCGATACCTGTCATAGAAAGAGAATCAGTATCCTCTTCTCTTCTTTCATTCTACTTACTATCAAATGCTTCTAATATTTGAGGGCCAAAGTGAGGAAAGGCTCGAGCAAGATGAACAAAGCCAGGAATTGCCTTGATAAGGAATTCAGATGGCACACAGACCGTTGATGGCTGTCCTTCTTTTGTTACTGGAAATGCAATCTTTAAAAGCCTTGGAAGCACATGTTTCTCTGCAGTCATTAGACTATAGATATATAATCTGTTAGACACGCTAAAAGACTTGGATATTGACTCACTAGTTTTCAAGTGGGTATTTTTCGCAAAGGTGACAAGCTAAGAGGATGCCAAATACCTGCTTTTCTACTTGAGGCTGCCTGGTCAGTTCTGGGATGAATCCAAGAACAATATATAAAGAAGGTATTAGGTCAACCATAATAGGAATGAGTTCAATGGGGTAGGTTTGAAAATGAAGTATCTTTGCAAGCAGCATGTCACGGTCGCCATCAATAAAAATAGAGTGTATAAAATTGCATATTAGTATTCTTGCATCATGTAGTTTCTCTGCTTGAAGAGTTAATAAAACAATATTAAAAATTCTAGTTTCTGTACTTACCAGGATGTTCTTTATCTTGAGGTCTTTCAAGACAAAGCTCAAGGAGTAACTGAAGCATGACTGTATCTTGGGCATTTGTTAACGCAAGTACGTTGCGGGAATTAAAGTCATTTCGCTATGAGAGCTTTTGCTTTAGTCATTCTGTGTTACTATCTGAATTGCCATATTTACATTAACTTGTTTAGAAAAAACAGAGTGATATCTCTTCCATATACGATGCTTTGATGTTGTACGTAAGCACATTAGAATCTATGATAAATTAATACTCATACCGTATCGTCAAACAGTTTCTACATTACATGCAACCAAATTGGCAGTAAGTACTGAGATCGAAACACTCGTTCGTCACATTTGAATGCAGTTCGAATGTCTTGTATTAAGTCACTCAAGCTATGATTTCTATTATCCGTGTTAACAACATAATTCAAAAGGCATGAGGCATACTTTACTCTCCTGTTAGCAAATTGATTGTCATTGTCCATAAGCTGTGCGGTATGACATGATTGAATGATTCCCATGCAGATACAAAACAATTGGCCACTCTAGAATCCAACCTATGTGTGTCATCGCTTAGAGTCACTGCTGTTGCTGCTGCTATTCTATATCACACTTCTTACGTTTCATCCAGACAAGGCGGTAAAAGCGTTGATATCATACACTTTGCATATTCTTCTGCATGACTAATAGGTGCGTATTCTAGTCGAGATAAAGCTAAGAGAGACTGTGTAAACAATTCAGCAGTAAAAATACAAGTAGTCTATGCTTTGGTTTACCATCAATCACATCTGTCTGTTTACTCTCATGCTGGACTAATATAGACACTAATTCTTCTGGCTCTAATTGTTTTGTCTTTCTTTTCCCTACTTTTTAGCTTATTGCTTTCAAACTAAAAAAGGGAGAGTGCTTTAATACCTTCTCTTGACGTCTGTATCCCACATCATATCCACTTCTTTTCCTTCTTGCATCAAAAAGCTGGTAACATCAAACAATTCTGGATACAAATTAGCAGACAAAGCGAGTATGTCTGAGAATATCGTTTTGTACGCTTTTCCGTCTTGATATGTTTCGATATGATTTAATATATATTTAACTGGGATCTGATCTAATAACTCTGTAGAATACTCTGAAATGACATGAGTCGTAGGCCGATCTATTTCGTTTCATCGTTACCTGTTTGCTCTACGGATGTATTAGCAACAAGCGCAATCAGTTTAGGTTCAGTTCGACATCCAATAAAGAAATCATTATGTGTCAAGACATAAAAGAGCAAAAGTACTTGTGTAGGTGTGATGATGTTGCAATCGCGAAACTCTTCTATAATGATATTCTCAGGTATTCTCTGTACTTTATCTACTATAAAAGTACTATATTATTGTGCGTTGAGTTGAAAGATCGTTGGCTTAAAAAAGGGGGACAATCAACAAACCATGTGACAAACTCATGAATGATGGATCCAATCTTTGAATGTATCGGTAGTGTTGCATTTTTCATGTAATCAAGTAACCACGACTGATAATCAGTATTGTAAAATACGCGCGCCTTTAATAACTGATAAAAAGAATCTAAACCAGGTGTCTTCATTTTAAAAGAAGAAAAGCAAGAAAAAAATAACAAAAAAATAAACTCAAAATATAATGTTGCTCCATTTTTTTTATATCATTGATATATTGCTGTTATATCATTTGGAGTAGGTCGTCTTGACTATTAAATAACTCTTGTATTCATGGATAGCTTAAGCCATATTCTCTCCCTTCTCCTTGAACAATAGATCAGATCAATTAAAAATTAAAAAAAATAGAGAGGATCAAGTCATGTTCAAAACCTGACGTTTGACCAATCATTTCGAAACAGATATTGCGGACTTGCTGAATTATGTTCATTATGTGTGTGCACACCTGTTTGTCTCTCATTTTTTTTTTCTATTAAACCATGGAAAGCAACAAGGATGAGGCCATAAGGTGTTTATCTATTGCAAAGAGTTCATTTGAAGTAGGAGACTATTCAAAAGCACAGAGACTGGCTGAAAAGTCCAAAAGACTATACCCAACAGAACGAGCTGAACAATTCTTGCAGATCATCAAAAGACAAACAGATCCTGCTCCCAAAACTATACCATTGCAAAAAAATAATGCTCAAACAGATAAAAAGTATACAACTGAACAAGTGAATGCAGTGAAAGCAATATTGGCTTGCAGCAATTGTTACTATAAAGTCCTGTCTGTAGATAGAACAGCAACTGACGCAGAAATCAAAAAAGCGTATAGAAAGGTATTAAAAAAAAGTGATATATTGATATAAAGAAGAAGAACTAATTGAAAAATCAGAAAGCATTATTATTTCACCCTGATAAAAATAGTACGCCTGGAGCGGATGAAGCATTTAAGCGTAAGATGTATTTGTTTATGCTATTAGGAGATATTCTAACAAGGAAAGAATGTATAGTTATTTCAAAAGCATTCAATACATTATCAGACCCACATAAAAGAGCAATACATGATTCTGGTGGAGATAGAGAAGATGGAAGAAGATCAGCTCCAACTTATCGTTCTACTTATCATAGACGCCGTAGAGAGGAAGTATCACCTGAAGATCTGTTTAATCTATTTTTTGGAAGGAATGGACCGAGGTTCAATCAAGATAGGTATACAGATCACGCTCACTTTTATAAGTATCAAAGATACCAACAATATCAAAGACAGCGCCAACATCAGCGACAAAGACAACAACAACAACAAGAGGATGGATCAATGAAATATTTTCCATTTATCTTTATCATCCTTGCACTTGTCTTGTCTGCCATGATGTCCTCTCAAAGTGAGCCATTATATACCTTCCAGACATTATCACCTAATACATACAAAAGAGTTACCAGTTTGAATCAAGTTGACTATTTCGTAAATCCTAAAACGTTTTTCCCAAGGATAGGGAATAGCCATTATAAACTAAGAGAAATAGAGAGACAGATTGAATTAGATTGGGTCAATGAACTAGCAAGAACATGTCAAAGAGAACAAAGACAAAGAGGCTATAGGCGATCCAAGCTGCCAAAGAGCTGTCAAGAGTACGATCGGTTAGCTCGTAGATTGTAACTTTAATAAACCACATCATTGTCCTACACTTAATTTGTTTAATGGCTGACTTTCTTTTATCCTTTCTCTCTCTTCTTTCACTGGTCTGTGTTTCATGCCTTATACGCCATATACTCTTCAGACTATTCTCGCGTCATCTTGTGTTCAACGAGAAGAGCCTATTCCTACACCAAACACTTCAACCTCATTCTTTTCAAGACGAGCTACCTCTCCTCCTAATGATGCTACATCACCTATTCTTCGATTAACTTCAAATACCTCAGCAGCAGTTCGAATAGATTCCGTTGGAGCTTGGGGTAATAAGTGAATTATGAACGAAAAAAAAAAAGAAAGAAACTCAACTCGATGCTTAGATAATGATCTCTATTGTGGTACTTCTGAAGGAACTGTACTTCATTATTCTCTACAAGATAACAACACTTCGACAGAAAAGGTAAAAAGGAAAAAAGGAAAGAAAAACAAAAAAGGGAAATAAGAGCTAATACTAAATGTAGACATTAACAACTCGATTAGAACGTACGATCAATCTAGGCTATGGAAAGAAGAGTGTTGAACGTATATTGCTAATACCCCAAGTCTCAAAGGCCATTGTCTTATGCGGTAAGGACAATAGTAGTAGTTTAATTTATGCTAAAGCCTGCTACAGATTCTACTCTTTTATTCTTCTCCTTGCCCTTTTTTGATCCGATATCAGCGTCATTTATACCACCCATCAAGGGCGTAACATGTTTTTCACATGATATAGCCGAGGAAGGCAGAATAGGTGAAGATGGAACAGTAGAACTGATAGTAGTAAAGAGAAGAGCTCTTCAAATATACAAAGTTGGCGAATCAATGTACTTGAAAAGGGTATAGAAGATAAAGAGAGAGAGAGAAAAGAGGTTACTTTGCAACAATTACTTGATGATTAATACACACTTAGGAACTCCCACTTACAGAAGGTGCGATTACATTAACAAGATATGGTCGTATATTATGCTTGGCAGACCATCAAAACTACAAGCTAATCAATTTGCAACAGTCATCAGTTACGATGCTTATACCAACCCCTCAAGTACCTGCCACAACATCTACGCTCTTACTAGGCTCACAGCTTATACCAAAGCCGCTCATGGCAGTGGTCAGAAAGGATGAGTTTTTGGTGGTGAGTGGAGGAAGTGGTGCAGGAAGCCAAACGATTGGTATCTTTGTCAATCCGAACGGAGATGCCATACGTGGCACCTTACAGTGGCCCAGCTATCCGAAATCACTTTGTGTCGAGTTTCCCTATGTGGCAGCACTGCTGAGCAATCACACGATCGAAATCCACAATATTTTAGATCAGAACCTATTGCAGAGAATACCCTTGGATCCCGCGATGGAACCGAGAGGTATGGCATTTGGGCACGGAATCAAAGTTTGGATGGATGCACTAGCTACATCATTGAAACGATCACCATGGAAACAGGAGCCTGCTGATTCAGAACTACAAGTTCAGTTACAGAGAGAGATTATAAAATATTCAACAATAACCGCACGTATTCTTCTTTACGGAAAGGACTCGGTCCTGGCACAAGTGACAACTCCACTTACGATTCAAGTCGACGGACTCTTGGAGAGAAACTTGGTGGAAGAAGCTATGCAATTGGCTGAGCAAGCAAAGAACACCATGTCGGAGGACGATCAGGGGACGGTGTATGCAGAACGGCTCAAGTCCGAATTGAATTACACTTTTCAAAAATCTGGACTGCTGTTGCTAAAGGAGACACTGTTTGACGACGCCTTTACGCTTTTATCAAAGGGCGATATAGATCCGAGGGTTGTTATTCAGTTATTTGATGATTTGATGCTAGATAGCTGGTTACATAGTCCTCCTCCGATCTTGTTATTTGAAAGTGTTCAACGGCTAATAGAGGACTTGGGTGATCTTAAAAAAATAGGTACATGAATCAATCAAACAGACAGTTAGCTCACATAGCTCTTTTCTCAGTCAATGGTAGTCTAGGTGAATTTAAAGAAGATAGATCGTCTGGTGCATCTGATATGCGATGCGTATTGCTAGAAAACGCTAGAGAAGCCTTGAACAAGTATCTGTTGGGAGAGCGAGAAAAAAGAAAACACAAGTTGGGCCAAAACGACATAGAGTGTGAAGTCATTGATTCTTGCCTATTAAAGATATACATGTCACAAGGAGATAACGATTCAATATATCAGTTATTGCAGCATCCGAATGACTGCAACGTCGATGAGTGCTCAAAAATTCTTAATGAATCAAAGGTAGATATGTCTTCCTTTTCCTGCCTTTAACGCGCATAGAAAATAGAAAAAAAAAGAAAGGTAATGCTGATTATTTTTTATATAGAAATACTATGCACTTTCAGTAATGTATGAATCAAAACACATGTATGAAAAAGCATTGGAATTGTGGACAAGGTAAAGGAAAGATATTGACTATACATGTAGAGTATATACTAAAGTTATACCTTTTGGCTTAGGATGCATGAGGGTAATTTAAGAGATGACGACTTTAAGAACGGCCTAAACCGTGTGAAGGAGCTGCTATTAAAGGATCTTGAAACTGCGGACCTGCCACTCCCTGCCATAATGCATTATGCATGGTGGTTAACTAAACAGAGCCCCCGAGATGGCGTAGAGATATTTATTCGATCACCAAGGGCTCGAGATATGGATCCAGATGAAATTTTGGAAAGGCTTGAACGTTATGACAACCAAGTAATTCGATCTTACTTGGAATATCTTGTCAACAACCTAAAAAGTGAAAATCCAGACTATTGTACTAGGTTAGCATGCAGCTACATAAAGGACATACGCGATGAAATTAAACAAAATGACGGCCTGGGCTTACTCAAAGAACTTGGTAAATCATACATCTCAAAATATTATTATTTATTTATTTTTTTACTTATTGTGTATAGTTGATGATTTCAAAAGGGATATTAACCCTTATCCTGCAGATAAGGACGATGACCTAAGCTATTCTACATTTTTAGGCTACCTGAGTACACAAAAGAGTCAATTACGTCTTGTTCAACTTCGGCTAGTACTGATACGGTTCCTGCAGCGTTCAAATATATATTCACCCGAGATTGTGATGAACGCACTGTCAGAGGCTGGTCCTTTGGACATTGAAAAGGCTATTGTATTCGGCAAGATGAACAAACACCAAGAGTCACTCGATATACTCATAAATGAACTTTATGACTTCGTGGGAGCCGAGACATACTGTGTAACAAATGGCCATAGTGCAGGTATCATCCCATCCACAACTGTACCTGTTAGGTCATCCTCACTTTCCGAAAAGCCACTTCCCTCAGTGGAGTACGTGTCATCCGATCAAATGACAGAAAGGGGTGAATTGTTTATGATGTTATTCAACACATATCTTAGTATAAAGGATAGGTAAATGAATAATTGACGCATAAACAAACAAGTGTAACTGTTTTTTTATATTTAGCAACTTAATGATTGCTCGCACTATGCATCTATTGAATACGCAGGGGTTTTATCTGAACATTATAGAGGCAAGTCATTCATGAATGCAAAAAAAAAAAAAAAAAAAGCCAACTAATAACCATGTGCTCAGGTGCTTAAATCTATACCCGATGACTGGTCAATTGATTCTTTACAAGAGTTCCTAACGAGTTCTCTTCGACAATCTACAGACAAGTGCAATGAAAGCCAAGTGATACTCGGACTGACTCGAGGAGAAAATTTGATGGTACAACGAGAGTAAACAAAGACACGTGTGATGCATTTTTGTATTTACTTGGATTGACTATTTGTATAGGTAAATAGTGATTTAATACGACTTTATGAAGAGATAGGATCCATTGTCATTGATTACCAGTCGACATGCTTAAAGTGTCACAAGCTCATTGGCGATAGTATATTCATTAAAGAAAATGAAAACGATCAAGTGCTTCATCTGCACTGTGCAAAACTGTTGGGCTTTGTTGAATAATAAATGATAAAGAGAGACAATAGATCATCGTATGCATGTGACAAGCTATAAAACCAAACACTTTTTTATATATGTGTATTTTCTTCTTTTTTCCATTCTCTTCAATAATACACACAAATATATGCTAAAACCACCTGCTTACGACAAAATACAAAAACCACTTTTACATCCACCAACCTATGTTACCTATAAAGATAAAAGATTCCTAATTATCGATACCCCTTCCATTAACAATATGTCAAGATATCTTAAAGTAAACTTATCAAGTTACTGTACAATGGTTTTATTGATGATCCTATATCAACTAGGAGTTTGAGAGATGGAATGTGACAGATGTCGTTCGTTGTTGTAAGGCAGCATACTCTCAAAACTTGTTGACAGAAAAGGGAATTCAGGTCCATGATTGGTTTTTTTCAGACGGGGAATTTCCTCCTCAAATGATCATCGATCACTGGCTAAGACTAATAGATTCAAGATTTAACAAGATGATAGCACAAGATGTAAAAGACGAAGAGAAGACAGATGACAGTAATGATGACGAACCAAAGAAGCCGTGTATTGCCGCACATTGCGTTGCCGGCTTAGGAAGGTATATGAATATGATTTGGATATGTGTTCATGTTGTGCTTAATATCTACCAGAGCGCCTATCTTGATTGCCATTGCGCTTATTGAAGAAGGTATGGATCCTCTAGAATCCGTAGAATTTATTCGAAAGCGTAGGCAAGGAGCTATCAACAACAAGCAGTTAAAATATATAGAAAACTACAAGAAAAGGAAAAGACGAGAGGGACAAGTGAGTTGTTGCATAAGCTGAAAAACACCCTTGAGAGCCATGGTCTCTCTCTCTCTCTCTTTGTAGCTTTATATATGTCCTGTTTACTATTACTATTAATCTTTCATTTACGCACACACATAATTTAATAAACCGATCCTTTTAAAGAAAGACTGTGTATATTCACTATAGGAAATTTTTAATCCGAGGATACAAAAGTTGCTGTGGACTTGTATTACGAGACAGAAAGATGACTTCATCCCCTTCTTGTATCAAAAACACAGTGTTTCCAAATGAACTACAGCCATGAATATAAGGAACAAACTCATTTCAAAAGTACAACATAAAGACAATGTTTGCTCCAGGCTGAGACTCATGTCACTTTTGTCATAAAACCAAAGGTGCTTTATGTTTACTGAACAGTAGTAAACATTAAACTTTAAGCATTGCTAGAGTCTTTTGTTATGTGCATAGATATTCTTCAAATGGCATCTTTTCTAGAAATTCATTTTTTCAATAAGCTTTTACATATATTACAAACACTTTATGTAATTATCCAAGTTTTATACGAGATGATGCATTTATCAGTTTCGAAGAAAAGTAAAGAAAATTCAAGCAAAAAAAAGGGGGACACTAGAAATTTCCGTTGTCTGCATAAATTTGGCTTTAAAAGGAAACTCAGCAACCTTCACTCTTCTCGATTTTTCTGCAAAAAAAGATATATAAACAAGAGCTCCCCCTTGGAGTGGGTCGACAGTAATCATTAAAGATATCAAGACACATAATGGCTCTTTCAAACCGATTCTTTGCTGACGCTTTCCGTGACATGCACCGTGCTTTTTCTCTTTTGGATGATCCCAATTTCTTTGACGATGCTCGACGCTCTTTGACGTCGGCCAATAACTCATTGGGCTCTCTTTCACGTTACCCAGCCACTGACATTAACGAAACAGCTGAAGGTTACGAACTGCATGCTGAACTACCTGGTTACGACAAGAAGGATATCCACATCGACGTTGCTGACGATCGCACATTGATTTTGAGTGGCTCAGTTCGTCACCATCACCACGAGTCCTCAAGTGAGAAGCAGAAACAACAAGAAGACAAGTCTACTGCTGTCTCCAAAGAGGTCAAGTCTGATGCTCCCAAGTGGTGGGTGAATGAAAGAGTTTCTGGCAGCTTCCAGAGATCGTTCAACTTCCCTTCACCCATTGACAGTGCTGGTATCAAGGCTAGCTATGAAAATGGTGTCTTGAAGATTTGCGTACCCAAAGCTGCTAACCAAGGCAAGAAGCGTATTGAAATTTCTTAAACATATTTATCATTATTTAAGCATATGTGTACTTTTTTAAGCATTTTTTTTTTGAGGCATTTCTTTAATAAATAAAAATACATTATAAAATAAACTCTTTATTCTTTTTAAACATTAAAAATTAATTGTAATATTCTGGTTACAGTCAGCTGGGGCTGTCAAATTGTCAAACGTATTAAATATCCACATGGCAACACCATTTGTCCATCCAAACCCGACTTGAGGCGTGTACTCACCCTGTCCTCCAGCAGTTCCAACGGCAGTAACATCAAACTTTTCAAACATATGACCTTCATCGGAAGTAGAGGCTGCCTTGGGCAATACACCAGGGACAGAGCCACCTGTCTTGTACCATCCACAAAATGCCGATGCAGCATAACGGGCGGCGAGTACCTGGGCTAATTCAGAATATGAGGTACCGTAGCGTGTGGTGTATTTTGAGTCAAGAAGAGTGTCTACGTTCATGAAACTTTGAATGGCAATAAAGGTGAGAGGTGGCCAGCCGTTGGGCCAGTCCCATTGCATGGTTGTATTATAGTAAGAGGTGGTCAAGATACCAGGATATTTTCTTAAAGCCTCTTCAGCCGCGTCTAGAGTATGTGATAACTTGGTCTTGTTGGTGCGCAAATGGTTTGGTATGGCTTCAAGCCAGATAGGATACAAGTTGGCAGGAGTGAACTCAATATTTTGAGCATTGCTAGTCAAGTTAAAGTCATAAAAGCTGTAGTGATCGTCGTTCCACATCAATTTGTCCATGGCCTCCAGTCTTGTCTTTGCTTGTTGAGCATAGTGTCTAGACTTCTTTTTGGATTCCTTGCCATGACCAAACTGTTTGTGCCATTTAGATAGACTGTCTTCCAAGTACCACAAGAGTGCATTAAGATCGATAGGAACGACATTTTGAGTATTAATTGTACGAAGCATCTCATAGTTGGCAACTTGGTGAGGAGATGGAGACTTTACTCGAGTCCATCGAGAAGAAAAGTCCCAGCCGCTTTCGGCACCAGCAGCGATATCGGCATACATTCGGTCCTTGACATCGTCGGGATAATGGACATCACCATCGACTGTTTTATAGTCCTCAACATAAGACTCTGGACGAGGCGATCTATTTTTGGTCGTATAGCGGTTCAGAGTGAACGTCTTTTGGGGATGGCTAGGGCTTTTGATTTCAACCGTTGTGTTGGTCATCCAGAACGTGTACTCTTTATCCAGATAAGGTAACGCATGAGCCATAAAGTCTTCATCCTTGGTCTTTTCATAATAAGCGTTTACCATCAAGCTAAGAAACGGAGGCTGAGAGCGGTTCAAATAATAGATTCTTGCACCATTAGCTGCATACACAGTTAATCTCAGGTCATGTGTAAAATGTTATATATAACTTACGAATAAATCCGTATTCATCAATAAAATCAAAAAAGTTTTCAATCATGTTTCTTGCCAAAGTGTCTTGATCACTTAATAAAAGTCCCTTGATCACAAAAAATGAATCCCTGATAGAATATAGAATAAGTTCAGAGGACTGATATTTCTTTTTATGCGATTTACCAATAATAAAATTCACGGAAACGACCACCGGGCACGACAAATGGACGCTTGACAGGTAAAGTAGAAGTAGAACAGTCTGGACAGAGTTTGCTATAATCAAATTCAAACGTCAAGTTTGTCCATGCATGGTTCAAGTGATTGATCCAGCCGCGATATTTAGGATTGGGTATATCCTGTATCCATCCCAACTCTTCCTTAATAGACACATTTGTCAGCATATTAAGTTCTGCACCGGCATCCAAGAAGTTTTCTTTAACGAATTGTTCTATTTGATTCTTGGTTGCATTTGTACCACCCATTGCGTTAAATGCCTTAATCACTTCTGATTCTGGTTTTAACGTTGGCTAATGAATGGGAGTTAGATAGGACATTTGTAAGTATACTTGAATTTACCATATCCACAAACGTCTTGGAATCAGGAAACAGTTTTGCCAGCTGCACTGTCTTTAGGATCGGCCCTTCACAGTAGATGGGTGAGTCACATGAATGAGAGGATGGGTGAACGGCCATCACAGATACGGTCAATTGGGCCAACAATAGCCCACATAAGGAACGAAGCATCATTCTAAGAGGGAGAAATGAAAAGAAGAGAAACAAAAGATGGCTTAAAGAAAAAAAAGAAAAAAAAAAAAGAAAAGAAACCGAAGTGCTTTTATACGTGTTTTTCCCAGAACATCAATGCCAAATGATGTCGTATAGTGTAATTTCTTTCTGGTGGTGTAACGACAGCAGTGAGAAAGATTGTTATTATTAATTCCAGCCCTGACCCGACCTACTGTGTGAGTAAATGCTGGTATCTATGACGTTTACCGTCGTGGGATCAGTAAACTGAAAACAACTGTTCCTTCTATTTTTGTATCTTTCCGCGCATTCCATCCCATTGAACTCTTTTCTTCCCGTTCTGAGTAAGGCGTGTTTTGAGTAAAATGAATATGTGTAACTGTAACTTTGATTTAATCCAAAAGCTGTTTTCTGCAGATGTCAACTTGAGGAGATAAACATTTAAAAGAGCCTTGAAGCAAAACAAAAGATAGAGAGAGACATAAAAATTTGAATACATAATGTGAATCTGTTCTGTAAGCGACTAAAAATAGGCTCGTCATTCTCGATTCTCAGTGGCAACATTTTGTAGTCATTTAATAAAAAAAGAGAAAATGAACGGGTAAATGCTAAAATGTTTCACAGTGGGGTACTTTCCAGCAACCCTGCTCAAATGAGACCCCTGGATCAAATAAGGTTAAATTTAATTTATTAGAATGGATTAGGGTCAAATTTTATTAGGTTGATCTGTAATGACAACATTAAGATCAACCAATATAATGACCTGATCTATCCGTTTAAACGTACAAAGCAATCATATATTCAGTTCTGTCCCGCTCCTTCTTTCTTTTTGACGTGGGAACCAAGTTTATTAAAGAGTAAGTAGGATGCGTATCAGTTATAAATGTATTTTCAAGCCTTGGAATAAGCTGTAATCATTGACCTAAGTGAAAACTCCTTTTTTCTCTCATTCTGTTCTCTTTCTTTCTTTCTTTCTTTTGTCTTTCTTGTTGCAAGTGAAACTCAACTTGCCAAAGTTCCCTTGAACAGTTTAATCTCATCTATCATTTCCCGCATGGAATTCTGTTCTGTCCGACCAAAAACGAGTCCAATTACAAGGCAAAAAGAACCTATAATAGAAATAATAATCATGCATAAACCACAGAACAAAGGGGTCAGGATAGTGGCGAGATACCCGTAGATAGTGAGCCTGAATTGAGTGGGTAGTAGAATGGTCAATATGATAAAGATCAGCAAGATGAAGATACAAGCCATCACGCAAAAAATATGTTTCTTTGCATCACACTTGGCCACAACCAGTTCTTGTTCAAGTAACTGAATGAGCGCATCTACTGTGGATGATTGTAGATGACCTGATATATCCATCTTTTCAGAACGATTGACAATATGAAATACAGCTGATACGCCAAAGTGATCAGAATAGCTTATATTCGTCCCAGGGATGACATCCTTCATGACAACTTCTGATTTTATGCACTCCAATCTAAAGGTACGGCTGTAAAGGATATAATCGAGCCTCTTGCCTGCTGCAACATTGTCCTTCTTATAGTATCTTGAAAATGTGTTGAATGGAGAATTGCAGGTAAATCCGGGATCGTATGTCTGAGTCCATGAATCTGTCAAGAGACTATGATCGCGAATCAAACGATAATTTAATGAATCTGGTATACTGTTGAGGTCACCTGTCTGATGACGATGATGACGTTAGACTTGTTTCTTTTGTAAATCAAAGATATAAAATTACCATCACAACATGATTCCCTGCAATGACAAAGGATCTCAATAGATTAGCCAATTGCCAACACTGTGCAGCTCTGTGTGCCTTATAACGATCACCATATCCAGCATGTAGGTGCGTATTAAATACGTCAAGATAGCCTAATTGAGGATGGTTCAAGCGTACGGTACCCACGCCTTTACCTACATAATAATCACCATGAAAAACTTGTAGAGGCTTTCCATTCAATATAAAAGGATAAAAGGAACTTGATATAATAGGAAATTTAGAAAAGACAGCAAGACCACTTCCAAAGACACCACTAAAAAAAACAAGTGTCAACCATCATTTGGTCTTTTATATATATTAAGACTACCTATGAAAATATTTTGCAAAGGGAAATACATGCTTGATATTCTTTCGCAGGAATTCAAAATCGCTGTATACCCAAATCTCTTGTAATGCCACAATGTCATAATACCCATTGCTCAATATTTTAGCTATGGCAGCTAGACGAGCACTTTTATGTTTAGACACAATAGGAAGACACCTATTTATGATATAAGAGCAGATGTTCTATAAGCACTTTCTCATTACCAGCAATTGAAAGAAAGAATCTTTAGTTCTTGAGTGTCTTCGGGCATTAAAGAAAAGAGAATAAAGAAAAAAAGAAAAAAAAATGGCCTAGGCTAGGCACTTTTTATTGAAAGAGACCTTGTTGGCGAAGTAGATGGAACCATGAGATGACCAGAAGCATCTTCGATAGGGCTTGAAGGATAAAGATAGTCTTCATCAGAAGGTTCGACAGGACTACCTGGGCCCCATTGCTGATAGATAGGAGAAGTGGGACTAGGAGAAGGAGATTCGATATAAGGTATGAAAGTAGGCAAAGAATCATCATTATTGCTACCAACAGCAAAAGGTATTTGTAAAGTTGGTATTGTAGATGGGACAGTAGTGATGACCAGAGGCAATCGAATACAGTTTGGATGAGCGGCGATAAACTTGGTGTCATTTAGAGAATGGTGACCGAAAGCAGGAATAAAGATGATGATCTCATATTGTATGTCAATATACTTGCTTGCAAAATGAGTTTGAGTTGTTGGAACGCAAGTGCTTGGTATCTGTATTGTGCAAATAGAGGTTGTCAAACTATTATTTTGCTGTGTATGTTTTGGAATGGATACATATTGTGATTCAGACAGAATCTCATGCCTTTTATGGTGATAAGATGGACCAGTGGATGCAATGGGGCCTGTGTTGTTTTTTAACGAGGTAGTTGTCGATATCAATTGAATAGTCACTTGGTTAATAGCTTGTGATGACTTGTTTTGTGTTTCCAACTTGATTCTACAAAAGTCACCTAGAAAAAAGAAATTCAGCAAAAAAAGAAAGGAAAAAGAGGATAAACGGGATATATGTCAAGTTTACCTGGGCAGAGATAAGGGTTGACTAAAGCTGCAGTAACTAAAACAAACTCATCTCCTCTTTCTATCTTGACTGTCTTATTTTCACTAGCTGCATTTGTCTTTACTGCAACCAAAGGTAAATAAGTTAATGGTAGACAATTGGTTGATTTGCTGGTTTGATCAGATAGATAAATAAATCCTTGTAATGAATATTCGATACGGTGTCCAAGACTATCATCACGTATGGTAGGTGGATAGTTTACATTAGATGGCAACTGTATAGCAAACAGATATAAATGTGCGCCTGATTCCAATACTGTGACATGGATGAGTATAAGCATTCATTGATATCACCTGTCCTACCTTCTCCTTCATCTTGTTTACTATTCCAAATATTGGATTCAACAGAGAATAGAGTAACTGAATCCTTCTTTTCTTGACAAGTAAATATGATCTTTATATACTTTGTCTTGACAGGCTTATCCAAAAATAATTTCACATTGCCTATCATATGTTGTTAGCATATCTTTAAAGCTTATCAACCTGCATACCATTTATAATAGATCCAGGTCCAAATGCTATAGCATTATTCTCTACTCCAGAACAAATGTTGACTTCGAATGTTTGGATTGGATTTGGTTTAAATACTTTTGAAAATATCATTGAGAAATAATAAAAAAAGAAGGAATGCAAAAAAAGAAAAAAAGAGAGCCGAAAGGGAAAGAAGGGTAAATTTATCTTATTAGGGTAATTTAATAGTATGTAGAAATGATTGGTCACACTATCTTTTGGGAATATTCTGTAATCATGGGCTGAATACACCCTCTGCAATGGATAATGTCATTTAATAAAGCATCTATCTTTTTATTATATATGATTCTAGAACTTTACTAGTAAAATAAACTTTATGGTCCCATTTTGAGTTACTGCTGATATAATTTTATCCCTCAAAAGGTTGTTTCCAAAAATATTAGCTGTAATGAAGCTTTACTTATAGGCTATAACAAACTAACTCGAGAAAATGCATAGTTATATACAAGTGTATCATTTACTGCTAACGGTTCTTTTTTTTTTGATGTTGAAAACTTTTTCTAGAGTTGATTCTACTTTCGAAGGCGAGGGAGCTGACTTTCTTACAGAGACACTCCACTTTTATATGTTACCTTTTTTGGATAAAATTTACTAGAAATTCAGACAATAGACATTGATATTTTAGACGTTTGGTCTGTACAATAATCTTATCCTTTAGTAAGGATACCTTGTTTATGATGGTTAATCTTTGGCAAGCCAGTTTTACCTTTTTTTTTTTGCTGTTCCTCTTGAATTCTGCTGTAATAACGCTAATAATATGAATGAGAAATACTAGTCTATAGTGGTTTTTTTTCCTGGTAATATTGTCAAGTCGGATGGGTTCTCTATGATTTCTTCAACGAAAGAAGAACGCGTGATGCAGGAATTGGCACATTTTTCTATATAACATAAATATTAAATAAAGTTGGTAAATTTGAATCTCTTTCCTCTACAACATGCTTAAAAACTTCATTCTCGAAAAGAAACTATCAGTTCTCAACAAAAGGAAGCTTGAAGAAGGAAACGTAGATAATCCGTTTAAAGGTAAAAGATAGCAATCAATTCAAATAAGTCTATATTACTTATAGCATAATTTTTGTATGGACATGATATGTGAGGATTGTCAAGAGAGAGGACACGCGAATAAAAAGTATTACAAATATAAATTTTATAAAGAGGCTTCAGTTGATGATAGTATTTCACCTGTGTCTTTCATATTGAATTATTTACTATGCTAATGACATTTCTATTGTTAGTTGGAGCATTTAGTGGAGCAAAAAGAAAGCAAAGCTCAAGTCTCAAACAAGCTAAACAGCAAGCCAAACGACAAAAGGAGGGTACAAACTCAACAGTAATTTGCAAAAGTTGTCAACAAAGTGGCCATAATATGTCACTTCCCCGTTTATGTCCCAACCACAATCTCGCAAAGAATGAAGTGCTTGCAAGAAACCTTGGCTTTCCGTATATAGCTTTCACTAGGAAACTTCCGTTGGACTCTATTGTCAAGAGTGATTACAAAGAGGTACTCAAAAACAAGATTATTGTCAGTTCAAGAGACGCCCGCAATATCGTATCCAGGGCGATGCTGTTGACTAATAGCTATAGTTTGTCGAAACCCCATGATTCCATACCTCACGCTGTTCTCACACAACGATATTAGTACTCAGTGTGACAATTGATCAATAGAAAGAAAATAACGAATAACGCCAATACACCAGCAGACCTCATATCATACTGGAATACTTTCAAAGACACAAATCCAAATGCTGTATATCAGCAAAAGTTGATAAAGGGGGCCAGTCAATGCCTCACCGAAGCTTGCAAAGAGTTGGAGACATGCTACAACAACCATACTGTTGAGAATTTTGAACAACGATTGCTGTATTTTTTTAAAAAATGGAAAACTAGAATTCATACTTTTCTCGTATGTAGAACGTACATCCAAATAACATTTCTGACATTTCGGCTAAATATTGCTATCAGTTCGTTTGTGGCGGGGAACCGCATTGGCCAAGTTGTACGACAAGCTGCAGGAACAACAAAAAGCATTAATTACAGACCTTTGTCAGTTGCTCAAAGTACTACTCCCAAACAACGTTACTTTAAAAACTCTCATTTGCCAACCAGAACAACACATACGTGTTCTTTGTCAAATCTTATCCGAATACGACGTTAAACATCGAAACCACAAACTCCATGATGTGCGCCGATTCCCATTATCACGATTATTTGGAGTATTACCGAAGCTATCCTTGCATTTCAGATCAATCGCCATTAGTTCAAATGCGTTGGCATCATTTGTATTCCGATCAAGACCAGAAGGGTATGATAATCAGCTCTCATTCTTTGAAAGTGTGATAGATTTTGCTGACTTGAGATATAAAAGGTATTATAGATCATTGTCAAAAATGTTGACATCTTATCAGGAAACCATTAATCTTTTATTTTTATTTTAGCGACGACCTTGAACCATGCGGAAACAACCACACCATGTTTGACAACATAATTAGATCGTACGGCTTCTCTGTTGACTGTCTATTTTACAAAAGATCAACCAATCGTGCAACAATGAACGAAGTAGATCCTGAGCTCAAACTACATGACTTCGATCGACGAAGTACAAAACAGCTACAGGCCGCTTTTTATTGATCTTGAGAGAAAGACTGTTTTCACAGCGGCAGAGGGTGTAAGCACAAAAGTTCATAGTCTACTGCAATGTACCGCCCGTGAATATTATCACATGGCCGGATCTACCAGATACCAGGCTGACCAAAGACGGCGGAAAAAAGAAAATCAAATTGAATCAATTGAAAGTGAGATGCCATCCCACAAGACAACTTTCTATCAGTCATATACTGTCTATGTTCAGTATATCCTCAGTCATTTGCATACGCTATTCAGTTTTTATGGCAGCAACATTGAAAAATTTCAATTTTTTCTGTACTAAGGTCGACAGAGAGCGGCCGAGAAAATAGTTAATATTCTTCTCACTGGAGGCGCAAAGTATAATAGAAGACGTAGAAAAAAAGAAGAAAGCTGCTCCCAATGCTACAATCAAGGTGCCGACAAAGTAAGCAACAAATCTTCTTTTTTGTTGATGACATTAACTTTTTTTTTGGAAGGCTGAACCTTTGCCGTATACGGAAAACAACAGAAAGGTACCGTTGGTCGTCTTTGGGGACGGAATGTTTGGGAAGGACTTAGTCAAGCTAAAGAACAACCGCTGTGGAGTAACAGGGAAGTTTTGAAAGGCTCTTAAAAAGCATAAAAGAGAGGGTGGCCTTATTCTGTCACCATCGATGAATTCAATACCTCCAAGGCTTGCAACAATTACCAAATGATTGCTCTTAAACCTGCAAAGCATACTTGTGGTTACAGTGTACTGGTCTGTAAAACCTGCAATACATCGTGGCAGCGAGACGTGAATGCTGCAAAAAATATGATGGCAATCTCTTTAGCAATTTGGAGAGGAAACGACCGACCGACGACAAAAACAAGCAACAACAGCAACAACAAACCAATCACTGTAGCGTAAACAGTTTGCCTATAATTAGACATTTAGGTAATTACAGGTAAATATCTGAATACGAGTTTTGCTTTGTCTGAAAACTAATTCCTTTTTTGTCTGGATTCCTATTTAATTCTATCCAAAAAGATAATCTAATCATTTGAAAATTGATTTTGATTTGTCCAGAAAAAAGCTAACATCGTCTGAATTTAAAGCAGAAATACTGTAGGTAAAGCCCATCCCTAATACATAATACTTTCACATTTTCCCTTTAATCCCAAAAGGGTTTTTCATTCCTTCTCACTGCGATCTGACCCGGGCAGTACAGCATGAGGATGCTATGTGCTCATCGGTCATTAAAAATTATTATCAAATAAAATTACTCTTTTAATAGTAAGTAAAGCCTTTTTGTGTGCATGTAGTGCTGAGAATGAATCGCTCTTAATTTCTTTCATGCATCTTTATTTCTCCCTTTCTTTTTTCTTTTACATGTAAAAATATGGCAAAAGATAACAATAAAAAGACGACAAAATCACACTTGAACAACCTGCAAAATGATTATGAATTTAGAGTCTATAACAAAAACGTATACGACTTTGATACATTTGATTATGGCCCATGCACAACCGTGGTTATGTCTAGACACCAAGGTTTTCAATGGAATGATGAACTTTTTGTTAATGAATATCAAAGAAGTGCCGGTTATGAGTGTCATAAAAGTGATAGCCTCGAGCAGAGAGAAAGAAGGATTTCTCAACAATATTCTGTGAATCAAGATGTTATTGATATAAATTTAACAGAAGCTGATCGTGATGTCTGGCCATAAGATATTTTGATAAAAGAACAAACAAAGCATACCATTCCCTCTTATTACCAGACATTTATGACAAGAATAATGCTCCAACTCTTTTTCAATTAGCTCATGAAATAGCTTTTAAGACACTTAATGATTGAATAAATACGTCAACTTTAATAGTGCTCAATAGAGCCTATGTTTTAAATACGGAATAGAGATAAAGTTGAATGCTTTGTAAAAGCTTACAACTAGAGAAAGGAGATTATGAATGATTAAATTGCAGACTTTTCTGCTATTCTCATGCATACAATTTGTATTTATGTTGTCTTTGGCACCTTACTCTTTCATAGCCTTCAGAGAACAACTAATCGTACTTCATATGCCCTCGCTAAAAGAAGAAACGTTTCTAGTCTTTATTTGAGGTGTTGTAAGTTTCTCTTTCGGCCCAGATGCACTTATATTCTCACTATTACGTAGGTTATTAGGACCTTGACTCTCACTTCTATTAATAGAGCATATACTGAGAAAATGAAAAAGTGTAATATTACCTTATAGTCATAACTGGAACTCATGGCCCATGTCCTATTTCGACTATAACATGATATTAGCGACGTTGATGTCAAAGCTTCTAAATCAGCAACTATTTCGTTTTTGATGATGTCTGGTACAATACTATATTTAACTACGGAAGCGGATTTCTTGATTCTACTTTTATTTTGTCCAAGACTGACATTTCTTGGATAAAGAGGCTACTAACAACATCTACATCTTCAGATTGTTAAGAGGCTTGGTTATCAGTACTCAGTACAATTAATAGAAGCAATTGAGAGAAGAAATAATAATAAAAGAAGGAGCAGGGCTATCATAACTTATTAGGGCTTACTGTGAGACAGATTTGGAATGCACATTTTTCGAAGTAGTGCCTTATCCTACAGATTTCCATTCTATCGAAAGAATCAGTCCAGAAAAGATTGAAGAGAGGTGCGATTGGGTTTATAAATGAGGAAAATAGAGACATGCACCTTCTGCCAAACAGTGTGCTTCTCGACGTATCTGTTTTTGATATTAACACGAAACACTCAAGGGCTTGGTCCAAAAAAGGAACACATGCTATTATTACTCAACTTACTATAAGAGCAAATACTGCGTCTAGATTGGGCACCATCTCTGCTGCAGGCTTGATTACAGCTGGTGCAAAAAAAAAAACCAAGGCATATTAAGAAAAGGGCGGAAGGTTATGTGGGTTTAGGGACTGTAACAGGTCACTATATTAGTTTGTTAAAAATGACTCTAGAAAAAGAGATGAGGATAAAAATTTACTAACAACAAACATTTTGACCTGCTCGCTCTGTTCACTTTACGACCTTGCTCTTTTTTTTTCAGGCTTTAAAATCGATTTTTTTATTTGCTAATTTGAATCATGATAGAGTAGATGTATATCATCAAGCATTTCAAGTTTACCCATGCTCTGAACGGCTTCAGCATAGCCTGTAGTATCGATTCATTCGTGTACGGAAGGCCATCAATTAGAATCTTTTATACAATGTCTTTCAAAATAATGGTCGTCCACCTACTCTCCAAGAGGAACACAAAAGCGTTATTCTCGAGTGCATTGATGAGAACCCTTACGTCGTTCTATACGAAGTCATGAAGAAGTTAAAGCAGATATTTACAGAATTAAAAGTATTTAAAACTACTTTGTCTGATTTTGTAAAACAACATTGCAATTTGTCTCTCAAAAAAGCTTGGCCTCAGCCTATAATCCGGAATAACGAAGAAAAGATTCAAGGGCGGTTGGATTAGATTCATCTTTCGTTAGAGTGGGTTGAGTAGACTTGTTATAAGTCAAAGATCTGAATAAGGTTTGTGTAGTATAGTGACCACCAGACCTTATTAAAAGATCAATTGTTAGGCTCGTAAAGGTGTAAAGATAAAAGAATAAGAGCAGGAACTTTTATAACAAAAGTTAAGACTTGTTTATTGTATGAATATAAAATAAAGAGAAAAGGCGATTGATTCAATTAATTAATTAATGAATTCTTCTGGCAAGGGGAGGCAAGGACTAAGGCTATTTATATGTTTTTGAGAGGACATCAGGACTACTTTTTGTATCGATATTTTCAAAAATATGAAAATTTCGTATTGATCTTGTGGTACTGTAATTTTCCTCTTTGGATTGGGGAAGTTCGTGTGTAAATATAACGATAGGAGTAGGTTCCTGTGCAAAGTAAGTCTTATTGGACTTTAACTAGAAAGGAAAATTGTATAAAAAGAGTAAAATATAAAGAATCTAGTTCGCTAGTGACCACCAGATCTTCTTATAGGATCAAAGTAAAAATATATAAGCAAAATGTAAAGATAAAAAGAAAAGATCCAAGAGTTCTATAAGTATTAATATACTTATTGTACTGGATTATAAAGAAGATAAGGGAATATAAAAGAAAAAGAGAAGGTTTTATCCCAAGTACTAAAGATTTGTTATACTTGAAGTAGAATTGGATTGGATTTAATTGTTCTTTTTTTTTTATTTTGTCCAAAGGACCAAAGTATTTATAACAAAAATAAATTTAAAAAAATTGGAATACATGAGTTCATATACATGAACTCATGTTCTTGGAGTAGTAGTTGACGTTGTTGAATATATTGAAGGTGCTTGATTTATGAGTTTTGAACTCAGACAAAACAAAAATTGCTTCAGTACTCTTATTGTAAATCCTGTAGGCCTTGGGTTTGAATGTGTTGTAAAAGGTAATAAAAATAGAAGTTTGTGTGTTCGTAGTCTTTTGTAAGACTTGAGGCTCGTAGCAAAAGTGTTTAAAAGGTAAAGTTATAATAAAGGTTCGATGTGTGACCACCAGATCGTGTAAAGTTGATCAGACTGAGTTGTACAAAGTAAAAAGAATAATAATAAAAAAAGATAAAAAGGTTCCTGAATCCACTTGATTGGATTATTCAGAAGTTAAAAAAAGATAAAAATAAAAAGGAAAAGGTTGTGATTCAAATCGTAGGTGATTTATTGAATGAATTGAGCTTTTTGCAAAAGCATTGCTCTTTTATACTTGATAA